CTACCCACTTCTGAAAAAAAAAAAAAACAGTCCACATATAAAATTTTACATCCACATAAAGATCAATAAAGAAAATTAGTTTTACACCAATTATACATTAGGCCTCATGTAGTTGATTTTCATTAATGAGTCACAAGAAAACAACATGAATAAATTAAGACACCAGCGAATCAACATCTTTTGTTGACCGTGTTCTACAGAGAGAAGTTAAAACTAGGAATGTCCGCTAACACCTATCAGACATCAGTTATCGGTCGTTATCAGTTTTTCCTCCGATAATAAAGACCCGATAACGCAATGCCTGGGTTTTGCCAAATGAATGGGGTTTGTATAGAGAATGCTGTCGCCAACAACTCGTACAGTGGTTCGTACAGATAAATAAACAAATATTACCAGACCCATATCGGTACCGGCTGATATCGGAATCGGAAATTCCAATATCGACACATCAGCAAAAAGTTAATGTCGTTCATCCCTAACATTCTGTGTAACAGTGCAGTGTAACGGTATCATCTGTGTAAACACGCGATGTTAAATGAGTTCAGAAAGCGTGACGTGAAGAGGAGGCGGAGCTTGGCTCTCTGTGAATCGGCTTCACTGTGACGTCACTAACTGAGGTTAGTGAAAGGGATCAGCTGATGTGTCAGCTGACCGTCTTCCCAGCCTCCTGAACCGTGTTCACAACTGAATCATGTACAGGAATGTGGAAAGTTCCTCCGAGCAGCAACACATCTGACAGAAAGCCGTCGCAGAAGTGGGATTTTTTTTTTAAAAAAAGTTCTTCCAGGATTCAGAGGCACAAACAAACAAAGTGAGACTCACAGAAAGTTTAGTTTCACTCACCTTCCTGGTCCTGTGTGTGTCTGCCATGTTGAGCCGAAGAAAACAGCAGAGGACTGACTCACAAGTCCAGTTTGTTCTCTAATCACCTGCCCCCCCTTTCCCCCCCCTTCCTCCCCCCTCCCTCCCCCCTGTGTGCCTGTGAGCGATCGGTGCTGTAACACGAAGCACACACAAAAAAGTTGGTCAACTTTCTCACCACTGAAGTTTTTCAGAGACTGTTTACGACTTTAATATCTTAATAGTCCGTTCACTGCTTTACGGCAGTGGGAGTCAGACCGTCCCCACAGGAAAATTTATTTATTTTTTTTCCAAATTGTTTACTCTTCCACACCAAAGCCCGTGGAGCGAGTCAGCGATTTCAGTTCAAAGGGACAGAGGCGCTATTGTTCCACTGCTGCCTCTGGTGGTCAGTTTGTGTCACTATGAGAAATCCCACTGAAGATTTACACACTTAAAATGACATAAACATATTTGGATTGACTGGTGTAGGCAGCTGCTGAGAGACAACTCCAGTGTTGATACAAATCAACTTTGTTCTCTTTGGGCCTTGATGTGAACTCTAATTAAAATGATCATTATTATTATATATTTAAAAAAATAATAAAGCCCAATTTTGTCCATTTAAGTCTAAAGACATTCGTTGTTTGCTCTGGTTTCAAAGTTTTAATTTTTTAGGTATAAAAGAGGAAATAAAGTGTAACAGAGAAATATTAAAAAAATTAATTCATACTTTCTGACCTGACTTTGGCAAAAATGACTCAAATGGACCAACTTTTCACTTTCAACAGGAGAGGAGAAGAATGAGAGGAAACAGGAAAAGGAAACAGAACAATGGCAGCTTGAAAGTAGAGAAAGGGAGAGAGGGAGAGGGAGGGGAAGAGGGTGTCAGTTTCACTCTAAACCCAAGGGGGAGAGGGTTTCAGTTTCACTCTAAACCCTAAGGCAGGTGATTAAAATAACACTGATTTCTATCAACTGCCTCAACATATATATATCTATATATATATAAATATATATATATATCAGACATATGAATACATATATGAATATATGTATATTTTTTTTACATTTTATGACTCCTTAAATTTCCTAAAACATCCTTAAAACATGTATTCAGTACGGCGACACTCATGTTTGTCACCAGAGTGAATGCTGAGCCAAGATTTATTCAGATTTTTTTTCTTTAATTTATTCTGGTAAACAGGTTAAGTGAATGAACATTTAACAATAAATGGATGTAAATTTTCAGATGATATAATCTGCCAGACGCCCCCTGGTGGACCACCTTTTCAACAAGAATCTCAAATTAATTCTGATTTTGTTTTTAATTTTGTTTTTTCAATCTGAAACACAAACAGTTGATACCACATTCCCATTGAAACAGGGAGTGCACGTTCCTTGATCACAGCGAAAAATGTTCTCCTTCCCAATTACTGTCCCCAGTCGTTGGAGAGACTCACTGAGGCTTTCTACAGGGATTGCTAAACCGCTACGAGGTCTGAAGATTTTACTAAATACAAAGAAGCGAGTTGGCCACTGGTTCATCACATTGATTGATGTGAGGATGTTAGCTGGATGTTGACTGTTTGTACATCTTTGGTCACATGGGGAGGCAAAGGCATAGAAAATCAACCAATCAGGAACGTTATTGTTTCTCATTCTAAGCAAATCATTTAAGTGTTGTGCCACCCCGGCCTCTGAGTGCACGAGTGGGGGTCCGTCTACCTTAACTGCCTCCACCAACCAGGTGCCAACGTACACCTCGCTGTTGCGGACTTTGTTCAGCACGTTTGTAGGAGGGTCGTCTCGAAGGAGAGTAGCCAGGATTTGGTTTATGTTCTTGTTCTGGTTCTGGTTGTCAGGGACTCTCAATGCCATACTGAACATGCCAGTGGGTTGGTAGCTAAAATCACAGACCAGAAAAAAAACCCCAAAAAACCAACTTGAATTTATAATGCACAAAACACACAAGTAGGTAAAGTAGTAGGAGATTATTGTTGCCGTGTGTGGTGTTGTTGATCTCAATTATTATTTATTATTATATTTCAATTATACCATTATTTAACCATTGTTAAATATATACATATACATATACATACATATACATATATATATATAATATACCTTATTATATATATATATATGCATATATATATAATATACCTTGAACAGGTATATAACAGTTCAAATATATGAACGGTATAACTAGTTGAGTAATTAAATAATTAAATTAGGTAAACAGTTTGCTACAGCATATAGGCAGGTCCAGCAGCTATATTATATATATTTGTAATATATTTATACTCAGTATATAAGTTATGAATATGCATATATATACATATACATACAGATACAGATCATACAACAGTCCAGCACACACCAGCTTTTTGATGGCGAACAGTGCACTCTGACCTAATTTTACAGGTCATGCTTAACTGGAAGCCTGTAGCAAAACAACGTAATGTCACTGTCTTCGTTAACCTAAGACCAGGTGTGACATTTCTAGCAACAATCTATCCAGTTGGAGCAGCTAACTTCTTGTGTTTTTCTCTGTGGCATTACATGTAAAACAACACTAAAATGTTGTATCTTTTTTTTTGTAAAATTCTCTTACGTGACTGCAGTATTTTAAACAGTTAACAGTTCTTATCAGACAAAAACATCTTGTCTACTCACTTTCTCTTCACTTGGCTTACAACTCGAGACAGTCTTGCGGGAGTCACAGCATCTGAGACGTGGTCAGTCCACACGATGACCAACAAGAACAAGGTCGTCCAACATACAGCGGCAGCCATTTTCTATCTAGACAAATACACACAGAGATACATTGTTAATTTAACAACACATTAGCAAACATGAGCTGTGACAACCGGGGATCACAGGTGTTACAATTAAAAAAATAAAAAAAACTCATTTGAATAAAACTATTAATAAATGTATTTTTATTAGTGTTTTAGGCTAATTTCTACTTTAATGATTAAATACAATTTTGCCTAAAAAATAAAAAAAAAAAATTCCTATTAGCCTAGTTTGATTCAGGCAGATGATAATTGTGGTTTATTTCCAAAGCAGCTTCTTATTTACATTAATTTGAACAACATATTAAGTTGTGACTTATTTCAGAGAAACGCTGGTGTAATTACTAAACACATATTTCCTCCTAATCGAAATATGTCTCAGACAAAAATGCCTTGCTGTAAAACTGCAACGAATTAAAGCCTCTACAGAAAAGAAAGTAAACGTTTCTTGTTTTTACTCACAGTTGACGGTGTGTCCTCAGATATTTCTGGATCCGAGGTTGTTTTTCACAATTATATAAACTCAGATTGGACCTTGTCCTGAATTATCGACACAAAATATTTGTTTGACCTCAACTCACATTGACCTCAACTCACATCATTCCCGTAAATTTCAAAGTGAAATGATGCAACTTCCTTAAAATGTAAAAATAATACGACATTAAAAAAAAGGAATGACGGTAACCGGAGCTTTAACGTGACAATTCAATTCCTGAAACCGACGCACCACCAAATAAAGAGTGTACGTATATTAGCATATATGTTAGCGTATTCAAAGTAAGTAAGTTTACATATTTACCAATTTACTAAAAATGTGTGTAGTGCACTTTAGTGACCGCAGGGCGGTGTTAAAAACGACACAGACGTATCTGAAAACTAGCGTAAACCAGTTTAAACTGGTTCAAGGTGACTGACTTTACACAGCGAGACGTGAATTTTAACCAGGGTAAATAGCTCAAAGATAGCGTGTTTAATATGGACAGGACAATCAAAGATTAAGAAATAAAAAATAAAAAAAAATTCGAGCTGTTACATGAACACTTCTATTTAACATTGGTTCAAATGGTTGTGTGGTTTGAAAACTTTTGTGAATCTTTTTTTTAAAGTTGCAATTTGGGGAATCCAGATTTGACATGTATTTAAAACACTAGTTTATGGCATTTTTGAAAATTTAATTAGTTAATATAGACTAATGCATATTTTTTTTAAAAAAGGGATATAATGTTTGTAAGAGTTGTACTGATGTAAAGCAAACAAATGTTCTGTTGAGTTGTATGTTGACTTGATGATGCCGCTGAACCTGCCCATCGTTGCCAATTTTGTAACAAATACACTAATATTTGACTAGTGATTTCCAGCTATACATATATAATTGTTGCCAGGAAATTCAGGTGAAAGAAAACAAACAAAGCAATGTCATTATTTAGACTCAAACTCCAACCTGACCAGAAGGTTGAGGTAAACAAATCAGGTCCTGTCTGACCTAGTTTGTTTAGTTGAGGTAAACAAATCAGGTCCTGTCTGTCTGTTGTTTAACAGCCAGATTTTTTCAGTCACTAATGAAGTTTTAAAACCTTGTGGCTATGGTTCTCAAAGTATATACCAACCTGAGATGAACAAACACCGTCTGGTAACCTGTGTCAGCTCCACTTGTCATCCTTAGTTTGTCTTGGGTCCTCCTCCTTAATGGAGATGCTGGAGAATCCTCCAAAAGGCAGTCACACCTTCACGAGTAGGCACCTAAACATGGACGATGAGTTTCAGTGTCCACAGCACTGGGCACCTGACGGGGTCTTCGAAGTAAAAAGATAAAGGGTCAGTCAAATAGTCAGGAAGAAGAACGGCCGCAAAATGAAGAACATGGAAGGACTCACCCATAAAGAAACACATGAATCCATCCTTCAGGCTGAGACAGTGTGGAACTCATCAGAGGTCTTTTTGCTCTAATTCTCATTTGAAATAGTGGACTTGTTTCTCTGGAAGCTAAAAAAAACCCCAAAAGATTCACTAACAGCAAGCTCCAAAAAAGCTTTAATTAAAAAAAAAAAAAAGTCAAACCGATTAAACAATTCCAGTAAGAGCTCACGTCTGTGCTGCAGTGAACACAACACAGATTCAGGGAAAAAGAAAAAAAAAATCTTAAGTTTCATTTCAGAACTCTGCATGTAAGAAATGATGTTTTATTCTTTTATTAATAAATCTGTATTAAAATAAAATCAGCAGAGGAAGAACAAACAGCAGGTGATGGAATGTACCAATGAAAATAAAAAGCTGCAGCTGGTCCAACAATGGCTGCTTTATTTCAATCACAGTCCAATAAAGCACCGCTTTCATAGATTTATATATATATATAAAGATATTTATATATATATTTATATATATTTATATTGTTTTCATTTACACCTTCAGGCAACAACTAGAGATGATTCTTTACAGAATCAAGTTTTCTCCATGGTTCTTCTTCGTATTTTACAGGTAAACTTAATTTCTGGATCAATAAACCACAGAAAGGTCAAGGCAACTTTTTTTTTTCTGCCTCGAGGGTAAAAGTACAAAAGTGGCACGGAGGACAAAAAATGCTGTAAAAAAATGCAATAAAATTAAATTAGAGACAGAGTGACTCCAGTCGTGTGTAAACCTTTCCCCATTACAGCAAGAAAAAAAAAACTCAAATAAAATCAACCGAAAATTCTATTCAGTATAAAACACACGCACACACACGCACACACACGCACACACACACAACTTTTTGAGTTTGCCCTTTAAAAATGTGCTGTCCAATATTTCTGTACTTCAATTCATGAGTGACTCTATGCTTTATAGCCGACAGGTGACAGTGAAAAAATAAAAGACTAGAGACTAATGAAGTCAAAAAGATCAGCACAGAGACGACAGGAGGAAGAGGAAGTGATAAAAGATGAAGATATAAGGAGGAAATGTACAGAGAGGAGGAAAAGTTGGCCAGAAAAATTTAAAAACAAAGAACGGTGTAAAACCAGAAAGAGCTGGAAATACAGAACAGGGGAAACAGAAGCAGAAAAATAAGCTGAAGTTAAAAATTAAATGAAATTGTTTTCTGTGATGGTGATGTCATGATGGAGTTGATGATGTCATGAGGAGGGCGGGCCTTGAACTGACAGTTTGCTGACAATGGCGATGGTGGCCTCCACCGTCCTGTACAGCATGTCCAGTGTGTCCACTGAGAGGGCGGAGCTCCCAGATGTTTGGGCAGAATTAGGGGTGTGAACATCAGACTCCTCTCCCACAAGCCCCAAGCCTGAAGGTAAAGGCGTGTCTTCTGAGAGGGGCGGAGCCTCATCGCCCCGTTCGCTCTTAGCAGCTGCCACCTCACCCTCCCCTGGCCTCTCCAGCTCTGAGGAACATGATGTCATGACTGCGTCGCCAACTCCCCCTTCCTGTTCCTCTGTGGCCTCCTGCAAAAGGGAGGAGGAAGAGCAAGACGAAGAGGAGTCCATCTTCTCCTCTTTGGGGGAGGAATCTAGGTTCGTAGAGGAGGCAGGGACAGGGTCGGGGGAGGGCGGGTCCTGCTCGGTGCCTGGGTCAATTAGAGAGGACGAATCTCGAGTCTCAGTGTCGGAGGTGCTAGTTGGAGTCAGTGCCTCCTGGTGGTCGGGCTTGGGCTCGCTGCAGGATGGGACAACAGAGGAGGAGCAAGAAGAGGAGGAAGAGGAGGAGGAGGCCACGCAGAGAGAGGATGAGGGGTCCGCACCTCGATCATCGTCGCTGCTCACCCTCCGACGCTTGACTGGAGTCACGTCTTCATCCTCTGCGCAGACACACAAACAACGATGCTCAGATATGTCATTATCTTACAGGGAAAGTGGGAGGCAGTCAGAGAAGATCATCAAACACTCATACAATACTTATTAACCATGGTAGGTGCTAATGCTAACACAGAAGCTAACACTGAAAAACTCAAACAATATTTCTTAGATGTTAGTTGTGTGATGAACCTTTAGCCTTGTGCTCCTTCGCCTCCAGTTCCAAAGTTGCATTGCGTTGCTGAACACAGATGCGGCAGCGGCTCAGCAGCTCCTGGAGGGCGGGGCACAGGGCGGGGTCAAGGGCCTGAGGAGGCTGGATGGACAGGAGCAGCACCAGTGCCCTCAGGTCCTGAAGGACAGAATGGGAAGATTGTAGCAGTGTCTTTGCAACATTATCAAAGCAGTTTATTCTGAACTGGATTCAAACAAACAGGTGTTTCACAAAGAAAAAAAATCTTTGGTTTTGTAAGTAGTTACAAACACGCTTTTAAACATGCCTGCAGGAGGCAGTGTTTGACCAATAAATCTAAAAAATATTAAAAATCACCAAGAACTATTTTGACATTTGTATTGTATTTTTTTTTTTAGTTTCGAAATGTAGGTATGTTGTTTTTTGCTATGTTTGAGGATAATCTTTTTCCTTTTAATCTAAATTAAATTGTAGCCAAATAAGCATACTGGCTTAACTAAAGTCAATTTTCCTTCCAATCTTTTTGTTTTTTAGCTTTTGACCAACAAGTATGCGTGTGTGGGTGTGTGCGTGTGCATTCGTACAGCATTGAGCACGCTGCTTTTCTTCTTCAGCTCCTGGCTCTGTATCATCAGCTCTGGCTGAAGGCTGCTGTGTTCACCCAACAGATTGGAGACCAGAACACCAATCAGGTTGGAGCAGCTGGGGCCAGACAGAACCTGGACCTGCAGACAAACACAAACATCTTCATTAACATGTTTATTATACAACATCACACAACACACAACTAAATATGACCTCTGTTTTTAACCCATCACCACAGTCAGCAGGGGGGAGGGCAACTTGGCAGCTGGTGGACTCGAACCTTCCTGACCCAGTTTCCAACACTCTTTTTACTCACCTTATCTTTTTTTATTAACAATTAACAGTCAAATATTCATGACGTTGGTTCATTATATATTTCTTTTCTTTCTTCTCTAGTGATTCCAAATGTAGATCCCTCTGTTTCTATGTTAGTCACCTGACGCCTATATATCCATTTTACAAAGAAAACAAACTTAAGTTAAGTTAAGTTTAAGTTTAAGTTTTAAGTTTAACTGTGTCACCTTATGAAGGAAGTACGTGAGGAAGGAATAGACCATGTTGTTGTTGAGAAAGGTTCTCTCGTCCATCAGAATGCACTTGATGTACTCGTTAAAGGCCGGGTCGTCACAAAGCAGCTTTACGCAGGTTTTAGCCAGAACTGACTAAAAGAAAAAAAAAGGAAGACAAAAAAAAACAAAACATGAGTCACTGCCGTTTTACCAAAATCACACAATATAATGAACACAAACTGTTACCTGTGACTGACACAACTCTGTCCACAGTTTAGGGAAGAGAGCCAAGTGAAGAGGCAGTCCTTCATATGCAATCAACACACCTAATGAATAATCATTTACACACAGAATTAGCATAGCGTGTTCATAAAAATGGCAGGGGAAATACAGTCAGCACAGAGTCACATGTTCTGCAATTGTAACTAGTAGTTATCCGATAAGGAAATTATTTAAAGTTAGGCAAAATTGAAAACAAAAATTAACACATACATGGGTTAGCCAACCAAAAAATATTTTGAATAAAGATATTAGATACGAGGAAGAAAAACAAAACCAGCTAAAAACAGCTAGAAACCTTTATCAAAAAACTTAAGATTAGACAGAAAAGTTAAAACTCACACAACAAATAACACTGTTAGTCCTAACTAAAAGAAATACATAAAACTCCCAGAATAATATTACCAACAAAAAAAAAAAAAGTTTTTTTCAACTTAAAGTTGACAAAGACACCACAACAAAAACATTACTACTAAATATTCAAAAAGGCCAGAAAAGTTAGCACCATAACAGCAGATACGTACTAAGTTTGATGAGCGTGTCATTAAATTTTTCACAGTTAATTGCGACTCGACAGAGGAGGTGGATGAACTGGTGGTAGGACAGGAAGTAATCCAGCAGCATGTGGTCATACACCTCGTCTTTACCCTGAAACACACACACACACGCAGAGCTCAGAAGAACACAAATAGGCAAAATGGACGCTCACCAGTCAGCCATATGTGCTGAAAACGGTTTGTGGTAAAACTGCCAAAAAACGTGAGTAGACAAGAACAAAAAGTAAAAGGGAGACTTTTGGGAAAACAAAAAACGCAATACTTTCAAAGACAGTGGGTGAGTGGGGGGGTCTAGTGGGCGGGGCTTACCTTACTGCTCTCTACCATAGAGGGCAGCAGACACATGTTAAGCTCTGGCCTGGGAGGGCGGATGTTGTTCTTAGCTCCCATCAGTTTGATGTTCTCTCTGCAGGGAAGGTAAGGACCCAACGACACTGCACGAACAAATGAATACACGAGGAAAACCAATTAAAAACCTTAAATATTAATTTAAATATTAAATATTTAACAGAAGAGGAGGGTTCTAAAAAGGAGGACAAAGAGGAAGAGGAGGAGTCTCACTGGGGATGCTGCTGTGATGGTACGTGCAGTGGTTGTGCTGCAGGAAGGGAACCAGTGTGTGCAGGAAGTCGTGAGGACTCAGCAGAACCAGCTCCTTCAAAACGTCTGCAGAAGATCCAGAACCAACAGGGAACCACAGTGTTACTACACCACCCTTCATGTTACAGTTATCCTAACCCGGCAAACATCAGTCATCAGAGACGCACCAAAACCTGACTCGCTCTAACACACTACATTGAATATTAATCATTTCAGTAAGGACAAGGAGCTGCTGTTCCTCTGCTGCCTCTTGTGGTCGGGTTTTTCCACTGAAACAATTCTGTACAAAACATTACAATCACCGAAGTCCTGAATCAACACAGTGAACTTTCTCTGGTGGAGACAGCAGTAGACGTATACCTTCTATCTCAGAGGATTTTCAAACAGAGTTTTTTTTTTACAGGGTTTTAGTTTCCTAAGAGTTCAGCGACACATGATAAGCACTGATTACCCAGGCAGGCATTTCGGAGCTCTGGTGGGCTGTAGGAGTTCAGTAAGGTGAGAAGCTTGTGGGCGAAGTCGATTCTCTCCTGCCACTGAATCAGAGCCTGCTTCACATCTGGGACACCAGAGGACAAGGACATCTGTGTTAAACAAACTCAGACACTGGGCCAACACACACATAAATGGATGGATCGATAGTTTTACCTTTGCGCTGTAGGTACGGCCGTGTGGCTTTCAGGACAGACAGAAAGATGGAGAGCAGCTCCACCAGGTCTCCTGTCACATGACAGGCTGTGGCCTCATGGTACATCATGTGCAGTGTGTTAAAGGACTGAAAAAAGAAAAGAAAAAGCAGTGTGTTAAAGGACTGAAAAAAGAAGAAAAAGACGCATTAGAGAGAAAACACCGGGTTGGAACAGTTGATTGATTTGAAGGCACAGTGGAGATGAGGATTTAAGTAGTCTACGAAAATGTCACTCCGGTCAACATCTGATTACGTTAAAACACAACAAGAAGCCAGATCTTCACACTGGTTTTAGAGCAGGCTCAAATTCTGACCTCAGTCATGAGGATGAGTCCTCTGTTGAAGACCACCAGCAGACGGTCCTCGTCGTTCTCCAGCAAAACCCTGAAGGCACTGAGTGGGAGCGGCAGATGAACAAGTTTTAGAAAAACAAAACATTAAATAACCCCCAGAAGAATAAAGTTTGTTAGCAAATATTAGGTAAAACAAAAACTTTTTGTTTTTTCCCTTAGAAAATAACCTATGAATAAACTGCAATATTAACACAAACTAGCTAAACATCGACAGTGTGGTCCAAGACGTGGTCCTGGACCTGGAGCTGACCTGATCAGAGTGGTCCAGCAGGAGCGTCCATCCAGGCAGCGCAGGTAACAGCTGATTGTGGTCTTCTTAAACTGCTTCACATCTTCCAGCTCCTCTTCTCTCATGTCACCACGCTGAGTCACAAACAGCTGCATCAAGTTGAAGAGCTCCTCCACCGCCTACAGGGGGCAGCAAAAACAGCATTAAAAAACAGACTTGGCTTAAATAAATTAGGACTATATTAATTTGTAAGTAAGGTTATATTCCAGGTAAATTTAGATAACTCCACAATACACTTAATTTTAAAATATTATTGTATTGAGTTAAAAATTAAAAAAAAAAGAAAATAAAGTTTGCATTTGACAGTAATGTAATTAATCTGGAAAATTTTGTAATCTGTAGGTCCTTCAGTGAAATATAAGATACGACTTCTTGTCTTGGTAATTTCATTGATTATGTATCAGCAACTCATTTTAATTAGCTATTTTTGACCAAATCTGTGTATTTTATACTTCATTTAGCTGCTTTGTCTGGCTGTCTTTTGGTTCAGGTTTTTTTTTTGCTGCTCATTTACAGGTTTTGCACGTTTGGGCTTTTGATTAATCAAATAGGTTGGTTTTTGTTGTGTATAATTAGCTGACATTTATATATTATTTAAAATAATTTTCTTTGTGTGACATAAAAGTCCTTAATACATAAAAGCTATAAAAGCCTAGCTGAATACCAAAACCAATATAAAAGTCAAAGTGTGGTCAGTGTGTAGAACCTCCACCCACCCCGGGGTACTGGCTTGCATGAGGCGTCAGGTTCTTGAAGGCCCACTGAATGTTCTGGTGGGAAGCGAGCTGGCGGGTGAAGGCGGGTGACTGCTCGCAACACAGGCGCAGGATGCCGTAGTAGGCAGGAAGCATTCCACGGTTGAAGAGCACCACCTCCTGGTCGTCATGATCCGCCAAAATATAGTTGAAGGCAATGTTCTTGGTCACTACGGGGTTTTGCACCACCAGGCGCACATTCTCAGGACATTCCACGCACACGTTGTACCAGAATGACAACAGCGCCTGCTTGTTGTGGTTGGTGGCGATGGCGGGTTCTGACAGTTTGGGCTGAAACAAGAAAATAGAAAAATAGAGAAAAGGTGTTTTTTTGGTACCGTCTTTTACGTAAACATTCATATATTAAAAAAACGTTTTTTAAAAAGTAAATTTTAACGTGAAGATTCTTCATTAAGGTACAATTTTATGAAATAATTTAATTGATTATTTAATAAAGAAAAAAATGACAAAACTGTTGCATAAAGCACGTAAATGTATAATATATTTTGTCACACTGACAATAATACATTTAACAGATTTAATTTATTTTTTTAATTTATACTTTTATCAATTATTTTATAAAACATATATTCACCATGTTTCTTTCCTAATAAATTATTATTTTTTATATTTAAATGTAGAAAAATGTAATATTTCAGAAGCAAGAGAAGTTATGACTGTCAAACATGAAAGACAGGAGAAATGAGGAGGTGCTTAACAGGAGTAAAAACCTGGAAGAGGTTCCACAAGTCCATGAAGTAGGTGGAGAACATGAGCTTCTCTGTCTTGGAGATGAGGCAGTAGGTCATGAAGCTGAAGTACTGCACCAGCTTGGTGGTGCCGTGAACACTGGCATCCACGTAGAGCTTGGCTCTGCTCAGTAGAACGAGCAGCAGGTTGTAGACCTGGTGCAGAACCAGGGTGGTATCAGTCGATAGGGGGAGCTCACGGGTTGGCAGCTGCAGGGAGCGGGTGGAGCGGAACATCTGACGGAAGGAGTTACTGGGGATCAGTGAGACCAAGAGGTAGGCTGCCGCTGCAGGAGGAGGAGATAAAGTTGTTAGTTGCGTCAGGTTCTTGAAGGCCCACTGAATGTTCTGGTGGGAAGCGAGCTGGCGGGTGAAGGCGGGTGACTGCTCGCAACACAGGCGCAGGATGCCGTAGTAGGCAGGAAGCATTCCACGGTTGAAGAGCACCACCTCCTGGTCGTCATGATCCGCCAAAATATAGTTGAAGGCAATGTTCTTGGTCACTACGGGGTTTTGCACCACCAGGCGCACATTCTCAGGACATTCCACGCACACGTTGTACCAGAATGACAACAGCGCCTGCTTGTTGTGGTTGGTGGCGATGGCGGGTTCTGACAGTTTGGGCTGAAACAAGAAAATAGAAAAATAGAGAAAAGGTGTTTTTTTTGGTACCGTCTTTTACGTAAACATTCATATATTAAAAAAACGTTTTTTAAAAAGTAAATTTTAACGTGAAGATTCTTCATTAAGGTACAATTTTATGAAATAATTTAATTGATTATTTAATAAAGAAAAAAATGACAAAACTGTTGCATAAAGCACGTAAATGTATAATATATTTTGTCACACTGACAATAATACATTTAACAGATTTAATTTATTTTTTTAATTTATACTTTTATCAATTATTTTATAAAACCTGTATTCACCATGTTTCTTTCCTAATAAATTATTATTTTTTTATATTTAAATGTAGAAAATGTAATATTTCAGAAGCAAGAGAAGTTATGACTGTCAAACATGAAAGACAGGAGAAATGAGGAGGTGCTTAACAGGAGTAAAAACCTGGAAGAGGTTCCACAAGTCCATGAAGTAGGTGGAGAACATGAGCTTCTCTGTCTTGGAGATGAGGCAGTAGGTCATGAAGCTGAAGTACTGCACCAGCTTGGTGGTGCCGTGAACACTGGCATCCACGTAGAGCTTGGCTCTGCTCAGTAGAACGAGCAGCAGGTTGTAGACCTGGTGCAGAACCAGGGTGGTATCAGTCGATAGGGGGAGCTCACGGGTTGGCAGCTGCAGGGAGCGGGTGGAGCGGAACATCTGACGGAAGGAGTTACTGGGGATCAGTGAGACCAAGAGGTAGGCTGCCGCTGCAGGAGGAGGAGATAAAGTTGTTAGTTGAAGTTCTCTAAAGCTGGTCGGAGGGGCGGGGGTGTCATCAGTCAGTGTGGACTCACAGGTCCGGACTCTGGGGTAGTTGTGGGCCAGCAGAAAGCGCTCCACCCAGTTCTCCATGTTCTGCAGGACCCAGCTGTGGGCCAGTTTGTTGCGTGGTGTCTGGACGGCCAGCCAGTCCAGACACTGAGACGGGTTAAAAGGTGTCACCTGAACACACACACACACACACACACATCATGAGACAATTGTTGATGCCTTGTTTTTTAATTTATCAGTTTCCCACGGTCTTTACCTCCCAGATCCTCTGTAGGATGTAGGAGCCAAAGGACGGTATCCCAGGAGGTCCACCTGCAAACTCCATCATCATGGTCAGCAACTTGAAGAAAGGATTAGCAGCCTGCACCAGAAAAAGACCAGATCAGACTCAGCAGCTAACATTTAGCTACTTCACACTCATGTTCAGGCTAATATTTAGTTAAACAAATCAAGATTTCATTAAATTCAGACTTTATGCATCAGTTTGCTATTTCTCAGTCAAATATTGCTTGCATTATTTTAGGGGAACGTTAACTGTATTTTGCAATCATGTCCACTGGGACATATGTCAACACTAAATTTTATTCTAAATATATGGTTTTATTTGGATGCCAAATTTTTTTATAAATCTTGGGCAAAAGTTTGTTTATTGTTCAGCCATCTTTTGGCCAATGTCTTCATTGCTTTAGTTCAATTTGGACTATTTTGTCACAGTATCAATTTTTAATCAACTTTTAACACGTTTGGTTTTTTTCTCGAGTGTGAACAGCATAGAAGAAGTGCCACTGTACGCCACTTACCTCAGGAGTCAACTTAGCAATGGAGGTGAAGAGCATGGACACGATCTGTATAGAGATAATGACAGATGAGAAAAAGACAGATCAAAGTTTAATTATGTGTGTGTGAGAGAGAGAGAGAGAGAGAGAGAGAGAGAGATGCAGTGTGGGTGAGATTGTCGTACGTGTTCGGCCAGCCTGTTGTTGTATCGACACAGGCTGAAGATCAGGTTACAAGTCTGCCGGATGTTGATCCCGTCTCTGATGTGCTGGAAAAGGAATGGAAAACCTTTCCCTCCTGTCAAAGCTGCCATGTCGCTCTGAGACAGAGTCAGGTGTCTGAAAAAACACAGAGGACACAAGGGTGGACGTGAGAGAGGAGGACCACCATCACTAACCGGACACAGCTACTTTAGAACGTGAGGTTTTGCAGAAATGCGTCCGTTTTCAGACCTCTCAGAGCGAGACTGTTCCACCAGCAAAGCGATGAGAGCGATCATCTTCTCCAGAGCAGCAGGGCGATATTTCTCCTCTGCCAGAGACAGGATGTCCTCCTCTTCATCCTCCTCTTCTCCCTCCTCCTCTGACAGCACTTCCACCTGTGGCTAAAGGGAAACATTCATGGACGTCATTAAAGGACAAATCATAACCGTTGACTTACACTGAGCAAGACAAGGACTCCATCACTTTTTATGCTTTAGATCATGGTTTTGGCCAAGAGTTATCCTTCTTTAACCAGTCTTTAAACAAAAACTAAATGTATGTTTTAGGTTTGCAGTTTGTTCTATTTTGAACTCAAACAAACAAGTCTTTTTTTTCTTTTTTTTTTTTACAAGGGATTGAAACAAAACAACAAAATGCTGATGAAAAGTCATTGGAGAATACACAGAACCTTGGATAACCTGGTGAACTCACATTCTCAGGACCTTTGGTTCCCATGTAGAAATGCACCATAATGGATATGGCTTGTAGTGACAGCAAGAACTGACTCTGTGAGAAGATATGAAAAAACATAATTAAAAACATAAAAATGCTACGTAGGAAATTTAATTTTGAAATATCACATCACAGACACAAGCAACCTTATAGAGCATTCACAATGGTCAACCGGAGACACCTTAGGTTTTCATGGCATGCAGACATAACATTTATTAGCACCATCTATAATGAAAAGTAGCTAAAATATCTAATTTTCCCTTTGGACACTAGTCACATAAGCCAAGTGTTTTACAATCTTCACTTTTCCTTTCAGAAAAGCTTGTTTTATAGTGAGATCAACAGAGGACAGATTATGAAACATCATACACGTATGATGATGTTACAAATACATTTACTGAATGATTAGCTTAGTGGCCAAGGCAGCTTGTTTATAGAGGCAGCCTGGTTTTCCTGTGAGTATAAAAAAAAATGAGAGTGAGAATATCAGTCTGACCTCTTCCTCTCCCATTTTGGCGAACTCGTAGAGAAAGGCAAAGTATTCGGTCAGGTGTTTGCTGTGGGGTTTGACTCCATGCTCCATGATGGACAGAAGAGTTTTAACAAAGCGGGTGACACACGATCGGCTGCCGATGTCCTCCACTGCGCCGTCCATGTCGTCAGAACTGGAGGAAGAAGGGACAAAAAGTTAAATAAACCTTGTACGTGTCTTTGTGGGTGTGTTTTCATTTTAGGATGATGCCTTGTACGTGTCTTTGTGGGTGTGTTTTTATTTTAGGATTGAGATGCGAGTTGGACAAACCCGTCTTCCATTCCAGGCTGCAGGTAGAGATGGGCGTGAACCGGTCGCAGCCTCTGTATGACATGAATACACAACCTCTGGAACATCTGGGAAAACACAGGTAGAGAAAAAACAGAAAAAAATCATAAACACAACAGAAGCATTGATAAGACAGAACGGTATATTGAACATTTGTTTGTTTGTACAATAACAAAAATAGAAAGAAGAAAAGACCTGTCTGACGATTTGATTTGGACACTTGATGAGAATTTGCATTGGCCACCAGTTATCATCAGCCATCCGGTCCAAAAACCACTGTAAAAAAGAACAGGGGAACAATGATGTGAATAGTGTCATGAAGGCAACATTTAAAGAAAAAAAGAAGCAAAAAAAAACAGAAGTAGAGATGCACCGATTGAATTTTTTTTTGTTGATTCTCTATACCAAAGTCCAAGTGAAAACTTGGTTGGGAAGAGTTTTGCATTGCAAACATATACAAAGCAAAGCACTCTTTCTTGAGCATTAAAATCATCTCTGCTTTGACTGTGCGTGTGGTAGGATAAGAAAAAAGAAATCCTCCTCATACACAGTGTAACGTTCACATGACGTGAATCAGCTCAGAAACACTAGTTCGGGAAAAAAGAAATTAAATCAAAATAAAAGCTCTAGGTAGGTTTGTGTGGTTAACTTTACTGTTACATAAATTCTAAGCGGCCGTGGCGACCTGACCTAACGACATGTTCAGCTCAAGCTCAGCTTGCGAGTGCAAGGTTGCTCTCCTGTTTTGACACAGAGCACGAGCAAAATGATCTGCAGCAAAACCGGTGTGATGTTTGCTGACTGACGGATCGTGTAAAACAAAAACGAGAGATTCTGATCACGGGTCAGTCGATCGGTGCATCTCTAAGGAGGAGTAGATCTGTGATCAACCTCGCAGGCGGCCTGGCTGTTATTGAACTGTTTAGTCAGGAGTTCAATCCACTGCAGCATGGTGGGCTGAAAACACACACAGGGAGACACTGACATTAGAGGACACATCTGTGCTGTCTTTGAAAACCCACAACAACACAGATCGTGAGGTTTTTTACCTTTTCTTTAGAGTGAATGAAAGTCTCCAGAACAAATGATGTGCTAAGCTGAAAAATAAGGAAACAATAGACGTTTTAATGTCCAAGAATGTCAGCGTTGTTTCATCACAGCACAGACAGATAGATGATCAATAACAGAACTAGTGTTTTACCTTGGCCGTCATGAGTGAAACTGCTTTAGGGTCAGGTAGTGTGCTGGGGATGCTGCTGCACAGCTGCCACATGAAGCTGGAACAAGAGAGTTGTTTTTGTTTGAATTATCGCTCTACTATTTCTGTTGGTTAGTGTTCTAGATGTTTTTGGTATATCCTGGAGTTCCTTTGGCAGAATTACATTTTTGCACCATCTTGATTTTTGTTTACCATTTAGCCATCATTTACTGTACCTTACCCTCTCCACCTTTAATTGTCTAACAAGCAAAACCCCATTCACCAGATATGAATTCAAATGTAACCAGGAATTAAAACTGTTGTAAGGTGACAAAGCTACTTTGGAGTTTGCTCTTACCCAAAATATGTGTGTTCAAAGATGTTCTTGTCTTGAAGAAACTGCATGTTGTCGTGCCAAATCCACTAAAACACACAAACAGACGCAGAGGTGTGGGAATTTAAATGATGGAAATAAAAAAAAAATTAAAAAAAAAGAAAGATAGTATCATGGTTAGAGACAGACCTCCAACAGGTCGGGGGAGACGTGAAAGCTGAAGTCTTTGCCGTTCTCTTCCTCCAGCTCCACCCTCTTGTAAAAAAGCATGTAGGCGCTGTGAGTCTGTTTAAAAAAAAATAAAAAAAAAATAAAAAAAAACACAAAAAATGACTGCTGTTACCTTTTTCCCCACACAAAAAATTACTGCTGTTACCTTTTTCCCAAAAAAACCCACATTTTTAACTTTTTTATTAATTTGTGTTTCTAACCTTCTCAAAGGAAAAATCCATGAATTTGTCAGTGACAGAGTCGTAGGTTTTAGTCTGAAAGAAGACAAAATCTGGTTAAAAAAACAAAGAAAAAAAACAATGCCCATCATCCTCTGTTCAGAACCTTATAAACACCCATTGACTGCTTGTAATAATATAACTACATCTAACAAATACCCGCGGCTGGAAACTTCAGTCCAAACCTCGGCTTAAAACCAATTCAATAGCAACTTTGTCTATGTAGGGTTTTTCAGGTTTAAGAGTCATCCATTTTAACTATGGCAGCACACTCTGTAGTATGACAAAGCTGCTGTACCTTAGGACAAGGCTCTGAATGTTGTAGAGTGCAACATTATCGCAAAGCAAGCTCTAGTTGAGTACCATTTCTAATAGTAATCATGTTTGTCAATGAGCCTCCGTGTTTGTATCACTGTCTGCTGAACTTACTGTCATTTCTCCTCCAAAACACTCAGAGGCCAGCTGAGCCGAGTCAAAGGGCTTCACTTCAGCATCGTTAAACAGGTACCTGATGACAAAAGGCAGAAAAGTATGATGACTCAAAATAAAAGGTTAAAAAAAAAGTTGTTGCTTTTTGTTGAGCAGCGTTTCCTCTCTCACCATTTGTTGTTCTTGTAAGCGTGTGGGTTGACAATGTCTCTGATGAAGCTGTAGTAATGGCCGCCGTCCGCCGTGCCTGTGTGCACAGTAACGCCGATCAGATCGTACTCGTAGCTTTCTGTCACCTTTGGCTCGGATTCCTCCCGAAAACCTGTGGTGGAGACAAAACGGATCCTGTCAGGTTTCCGATTCAACTCATTAAACATTCCTTCAAATTGTAAGTTATATTTAGCTTTTTTCTTTTCTTGCAGTAACAGGCAAGCTGGCTGATCACAAATGAAACTTCCTTATTCAGTCATGTGTCACAAACCGTCTTTTCTCTCTCCTTTTCCCATCAGAAAGTCCTCAGTGTAGGGCGTCATGTCCAGCCTCAGGGGGAAGGAGAAGTGCGTGTTGACCTTCTCCTTCATCATGGTCACCATGTTAAAGGTGTAGCGCATGGTGTTGAAGCTCAGGATCCGTGGCAACTTCTTGAAACAGGCTCTGTGGGGATGAAACAGGACAAAAGAGTAAGTGGAGACGAACAGTCAGTCAATTGTTCAATTAATTATCAGCAGCAAATATTAGAACTTTAGGTTTTGTTAGCAACTCTATTTCAGGACGTTTAGACCAGAAGACAGTCTTTGACTTGGCTTTTTATCATTGTTTGACCTAGACATGAGCCATTTCTTTACTTGTTATAGAACAAGCAAAAGAAATTATTTACTACAAACTATTTATTATATTTTAGACAGTTTTTAATCTAGTGGTTACTTTGTTGCCGTGAGTGTAAAGCACCAGGTTTAACGTGGCTTGCTGTACCTTTTCTCAGCGCGGACCTTCCTGCCACACTGGGAGCAGGTGTACATGTTGTCGCCCTCTAGTGTGTCCTTGATTGTCACTTCATCCAAAGACTCCTAAACATCAGCCGACATGTTAGTTCTCACACAAACAGTGGTTTTTCTGTGACGGAGCTGGTGGTTCCTTAATACTCACATATATGTTCTTCATGTCTGCCACCTGACATCTGACTGTGTAGAACTCCTCAGCAGTCTGACTCACATGCTCGCAGTCCTGACAAACACACACACACGCACACAAAAAAAAATCTTTACCACTACAGTGAGCACAGTAATTAGTTCAGAGCAAAGACAGTACAGCAACCATGGAGACAGAGCTTACAGTAGAAAAAAAATCTGATTAGTCTAAAAAAAACGTTGTTGCTTTTCCCTGACCAATCAAAGGTGACAGAACTATTTTTTTTATGTGAATGATCACCCACCTTACCATCACAATCTCCACTACACAATGGTATGCGAGGAAAATTAAGGAATAACAAAACAAGATTTTATTTTTTATGCCAAACCCTGAGACTCACCAGAGAAACCACATTATTGGTGATGACGCCTCCAAACAGTGTCTTCACTGTGTGTTTCTGAGGAAACAAAAACACAGAAGGTGAACCAGGGATCAGTGTGAAAGAGATACACGTTGTTCTGAAAGAACATACCAGCTCTTGTGACATCTCCTCAATCTTGGTGATGAGGTCAGTGAAGAACTCCGTCATGTCCTTCTGCTCTCCGGTGTTCAGAGGCTGTTTGTCCATCGTGTAGGTCTTACAGAAGGGCCGAGGGTTGTAGGCCTTTCTCTCGCTCTCCTGAGGAAAACAGCATAACTGTCATCACCGCCACTAATATCATCCATTTTCCACCACTTCGATCATTTTCAACATATATTAAATCCTCAACACCATCATTTTCTATCACTCGTCATCTCATCTTTGGTCGTTTTATGCTAAAACAAAAAAAACTTCAAGCCTAACTTTCAACTAATCTGACTTGTAGTTTAACCAAGTTGATAATTTGCTAAAAGATTATGTAAATCATTATAACTCCATTTTGGCAACTCTCAAAAAGAGAGTTACCAAACTATGTGCTAATGTTGGTTCATAAAGTCATTCTAGAAACCAGCCAATTCCAGTGACCGGTTGGTCAGTCAGTGCTGTAAACGCACCATGAGATAAGTAAACATCTTCTGCAGCTCCAGCAGTGTGGTCTTGTGTTTGATATCCTCAGCATACTGCAACACAAATACAAACAGAGGATGAGAATCCACAGAGCTCTGATTCCGAGACGCTTGAATCTGTGTTCTGGGTCACGCCTCACACCTTGGCAGTGAAAACAGCCTGTCGGGCCTCAGGGATCATGTATAGCTGCTGGATGGTAGAGGCCAGATAACATGTGGCTCCCAGGTTGGTCAGACCAACAAAGCGGCACTCAGCCCGGACATCGTCATGCGGCCAGTAGTCCCACTTGTATGGTGCGTGAGAGGCTGTGGAAACAAGCAGGAAGACAAGATTTAAAGCTGTGGAAAATTATGTTATGATTCTCCACCTATTTTGTTAAAATAAGCAAAATATATTACAAAAAAATAGGCATAATAAAGGTCAAATTCAGCATAGACTTAAGTTAGAGTGGTAGTTTGCATAAAAAAAAAAACAGTAAAAAATGAAATACACCAACCATCGTTACATTAATATAAATCACTAGGACAGTAGAGTGAAAAAGTTTAGTCCATGGGTACCGGTTCTGAAGGCCCCTCGCAGACAAGCGTCCTCACCCTGCATGTGCTGAGACATCACCCAGTTGTGCAGCAGCCTGTAGTTCTCCACGGAGCCCTTCACCGTCTCCACCAGCAAGTCGTAGGCTGCAGCACGGGCCGAGTGGGATTTGCACTTGGGCTGGGAGCGGTCGGCGAGGCTGGGCAGCAGGAACAGGAGGTTGTGAACGTCGCGGAGGAACTCCTGACCCTCACGGGAGAATTTGAAGGGAGGCTTGTGCTTGAGGACGCTGGTGGCCAGACGCAGCAAGCCCGTCAGACCATCGTCCTCGATGGTCCCATCCTGCTGGTCTAGAATCTCACGGCTGGAGGACAGAGAAATAAAATGTTCTTTTTCAATCTGATGTTTTGTTTTTTTTTAAATGTCAAGCTCACGGCTGGAGGACAGAGAAATAAAATTTTCTTTTTCAATCTGACGTTTTCTTTTATTTTTAAAAAATGTCAAGGTGTATTCTGTTATGTAAACTGTTAGGCCCCAATCCAGCATAGTAACATGGAGACTCCAAGAGTTTTGTGCAGACATGTGATCATGTGACAGTGTAAATTAATTTTCAAAGAGGTTGATTTTTTTTTTTTAGAATGCCTGACCTCCTGATGCAGTCAGCGAGGTGACGAGCCAAAGAGTCGAGATCCAGCAGGGTGGTCTGCATGGGGCCAGTCGGGGACAGAGAGGGAGAGACCTTCTGTGAGTTCAAACAGACCGGGACTAAGAAGACGCCACTAAAAACCAAACCTGGACTGGACAGAGTCACGGTCTGCAGTAAAAGTTCTCACCTGGCTGGTGTCTTTGACGTGGATGTTGTCGATGAGTTTACAGAGCAGCCAGAAATATTCTTTACAGCCTGTTTTCAGCAGAGGCTCCTCCTCATAATCCTCCACCTGTGTACGGAAAAAAAAAGAAAAAAAAAAAAAAGAGGATAATGACTTCGACTCACTCCTCTGACTGTGAAACACAGCAGTTTAAACAGCCTTTCTTTTGTCTCTGGGTGAAAACCATGTTCCAGTGTCTCCAGCATCTGTCCCACCACATGGACAATGTCTCTCAGAGACTGACTGATTTTTACTGTAGCAAAGCTCAAATTGTGTCCAATCATTGAGGAATTTGGACACAGAGTGTTAGCCTGCAGAGTTTGTTTTTTTTAAATAACTACTAAAATGTACCAAACAGAATAATTTTGATTCATCTCCCCAAGTTTTGAGAGTGAATTAGTAACATGTTGGTACGTATAGTTTATAGACACTGCACAAGAATTGTACAGATGCATTTCAGGTGAACGTGCTGGATGACAGTTGTGTGTAAGACTCACCCTCAGTGGCTTGAGGGCCTGAGCATCCGGCAGGAACTTGAGCAGCGTGGAGGCAGCGAGCAGCAGAAAGGACCTGTTGATGGACTCTCCTCCCTCCAGACCTGACAGCGACAGCTTGTAGAGTCCGTTACAAGCCTCGTGTCTCACTGCAGGCTGACAGCCGAGTAAAAAAAAAAACCAATACAATCAATACAAACAAGTAGAATTTACTTTTATTTGTAGTTTTTTTACGATGACTAACTGTACTCTCGAACTGTACTTTCTGTCCATAAAAAAAAAGGTTTTGATTGAGGGCGGACTCACCTCTGGCACCAGCAGTGTGAGCTTCTTCAGCCAGTCGTGAAGGTGTTCGCTGTCAGCCAGACTGGACTTGACTGTGGACGAGCAGTGAGCCCAGCTCACCAGCAGCCACATGGAGTAGTGAGTCACTGCAGGTTCATTTAAACATAAAGACCACAGAGTCAATTTTTTACTACCTACATAAAAATAGAGCTTTGTTATTTTACACTTCCAGACCAAATTTAGTTCCTACCTTCATGTCTGGACCTGTGGTCAGACTGAGCCTTCAGAACTCTGCAGAACCAAAAACAAAAACACAGATGGTCTTTAAAATTCCACTGAGATCATTAAAAAGGTAGAGTACATTTGAAATGTAATTTAGATGAAACCCAGCCCCAAGAGAGATAAATATAACTAGAACTACGGCAAAAAAATAACCGAAAGATTTAAGACTGCTAAAATCTGGAATTAAAGCCAAAACAGAAATAACTGAAAGTTTAACAAACATCTAAAATTAACCAAAAGGTTAATAAAGCAAAATAGAAGATGCTTTATGCTGGTGTTTTTTAAAATGCCATGTCCGTGTGAGAACAGTCAGCCTGCAGTTTCCTTTTACACCAGTGTGGTTTCTCACCTGTGTGCCAGGTTGTCGTAGGTATACGCCACATTGATCAGTCTCTGGATTAGGCTGGTGCCTTGGACAAGGCTTAGAAAAACCTGTTGATAACCAAAGTTATCAGTCAGACCACAGCACATCAAAGGAAGATATGTTATCCTCAAAAATGTATCTTCAAGGTTTTTTTTAATTTTATTTTTTTACCTCTGTGAGTCGAGGTATGTGCAGGACTTTCCCGTGCTCCACAGACGACTTGCGGGATTTGCCCGGCCATGCTCGTTTCCTCTGACTGTCAGCAAGCCCAGACCATGAGAAGACATCGTGGTAGGCCAGGTCGAGGTCTGCAGGATCCACAGCAAACTGGCAGATGAGCTTGAGAAGACAGGCCAGGCAGTCGAGAAGCCACTACAGTGAAAGACGAGAGTGGATTCTTTTGGTTAGCAGGTTTGTACAGGAACGGTGAGAATATGTCAGAATGTGAGTGTGGAGCTCAGTGAATATCTCACCACAGTCCATGACTCCTGGTCTTTGGGCTCCAGGATGCCAGAGTTGAAAATCTCCAGCAGCAGCTGCAGACCTCCAGAAGAAACAAACTGAAGAGCAGGGAAAAAAAAAAAGAAAATTCAGTGAAACCAACGACACCCCCTCTTGGTTTTCAGTGATGTCAGTGCAGGACCCACCTTACAGCTCCAGGTATTTTTGCTGTTCTCGATCTGATCCTCACTAGAGTCGTCAGAGTCTGGATACAGGTCGCTGTAGCTGCCCTGGGAGAATAACACGACAAGTTAAGCATAGGGTTGATTATAAGATCAGACTTTCAAAACAAACTTTGGAACCCTGCAAGATGTTTGTCAGATGTGGTCTTACTGTGGACTCTCTGTGGATGCGTCTGTTAGGCTTTCCCAGGGCCTCAATGATCTCCAGAGCATACAGCAGCTTGTGTGGACTTTTGATCCTCAACAGTTCCTTCCAGCACAGACCCTCCCCAGCCTACATGTGCACAATTGCAAGAAAACATACATCCACAAAGCACCAGGTCGTCACAAGTGTGTAAAAAAACTTTATAAACTCTAACTTGTTATATGTTTTTTAACCAAGAAATGTTCTAGTCCGTCATAGTATCTGACCGTGTCATCCGAGATGTTCTGAAAAGCCTGCAGCATCTTGGGACATGTAGGAAGAAGCATCAGCAGCTCCCACACCCGACGAGACAGATTCTCTGCGTGAAGGTGAAGCTCCTCACACCTTGTACTCTGGAAAAGAAAAAATGTAATCTTTACTTGTAATTTCAAACTAACTGTGTTAGCAGATAGTAAGTTATTCCAGTTGAGGACGGGTCAGTCCTCCTCTCACACCTCTGGACTTTCATGGACCTTCTTATCACTGCTTGGACTCGGAGGTTTAAAGCAAGCCAGCATCTCCAGCAGATCAAAGAGTGTAGTGAGGTGCGGCTCCTGCAGGAGGAGCAGCATGGGGATGTGCTCCTTCTGAGGGGGAGGCAGACAGGAGGCTGGGAGCTGGACACCCTCGCCCTTCCTCTCCCTGCGGGGGGCTCCAAGAGAAACAAACACCATCTGAGGAAAAAGTGTGCAAAGCCATGTTACTAAATGACTTTTTCATTGCTATTAATACTGCTGTTCTTTTTTTAAATTTTGGACAGATTTGTTTGGAATGCATTTACTAGGAACTCCTGTGGGAGGTAAGGAACTCTTATGATGAAACCTGACCTGCATGTCCTTGAAGCCAAGCTCATGAAGAGTCTTCTCGTCATAGTCAGTGGTGAGTTCATGACCAGAGGAGATCATCCTGACAGGTCCCATTAGACCTCCTGCAGGAGAAGAAACACACATGGTCAGAAAGCAGGTGCTGCGATTCAACCACCAGAATTCAGCTGCAGCTGAGCATCTTTACCTGGGAAATCTGCCTGTTGTTGTTGTTGTTGTTGTTGTTGTTGCTGTGGCTGCTGCTGCTGTTGTTGTTGTTGTTGTTGCTGCTGACGACTACTCTGGCCAAACTCCTGCAGCTGAGCCTGCTGGTTCATCTGCTCCTTCTGCAGGTTCTCGTACCAGTGGGTCACCTCGGCTCGCAGGTCTGCCACCTGGTCACTCGGATACATCTCAATGGTCATCTAAGAGAGGAAAATATGAGAGATCTTGTTACTTTCTTTGACTAACTTTAGTCGTTTGGTTTTGGAACGCACGCTGCTGTTCACAGCATCTAACCTGCAAGAATTTATAATAGATTACATGTGGCTATATTTTATTTTTTGTCCAATGTTCCCAAATGAAACTAATATGTGATTGTTGAAAAAAAACAAAAACAAAGGTCATACCTTGTCAGGGAGGCCGGCGGGCTGACACACAATCCTGAGGGGCAGCGACTGCTTGTCACTCAGAGCTTTCAGGTGGCTGCTAATTCCTGTGCCTTCAATCTGCCACTGTCGCAGATGATACGCAAACCTGACAAAAACATTTTCATTTGGTCAACCCTGTAGTTAACAGAATAAAAGTTTCTTTCTATGCAAGCCCCGTATTTGTCTGGAATACAATTCTGGATTTCTGACCTTCGCCTGAAAGCTTCCAGGTGAGTCTTGAGCATAAGCAATCCTCTCTCGATGCTGGTCAGACTGGACTGAGCATCCTTGTCCAGGTTGGCAGATGCCATGAGCAGACTCTCCATACACTTTCTGATGAATTCTTGCTCTTTCTCCAGGCCCGTCTTTCCTGCTGGAAATGTCAAATTGCAGAGATACAGATACAGAAACCCGTGAGGCCCCTTCACTTGCAAAAAATTTAAATTTCTAATAAAACTGAAGAGGATTTACTGACCGTTAATGTAATAAGAGTTGATGTACTGAATGGCAGCCCGGCTGATGTCAGCAGACTGGGCTCTCAGAGCGATTCCCCACAGCTGGTCCATCCCGCAGAGCTGCGGGCGGCAGAGACAAGAATTATTGTTATTATCTGTCTGAGAACAGGAGTAGGTGGATAGATCAAGTGTCCTAGAAGAGGAGGAGGAGGAGGAAGAGGAAGGGTCTGAGTACCTCGCAGCTAGAGGCGCTTTCCAGGGTGCTGGTGGCAAGCCTGGCCAGATTACACAGGTGTTGGAAGAGGTTTAGGCCCGTCATGCTGATGGTTTCAGGCTTAAGCTGAGGCATCTGCAGAGGAAAAGGTCAGATCCACTGAGAAAAACACACACTGAAGGAAAAAGTATAATTCCTAGCTTGTTCCTCCAAAATACAACGTACAAAATCCTACTTTAAAAGTAACTTTTTTTAAGTATACAGTCAGCTAGTGTGGTATTTGAACATTTTTTTTGTAAAAGGCCAATTTGAGCCTTTTCCTTGACAAATTCAAAAATATTAGTCATGGAGATAAATCTTTCCGTGTCTCATTTCTCACCTTCTCCAGAAACAGGTGTTTGTATGTCTCCATGCCCATGGCATGCTGGTCTTTGCTGCGGACCTGATTGAGGAACCAGTGCAAGGCATCATCATAGCACTCTGAGTCTTCCACCAGACAGTGCCACAGGATGTCCACCTGCTCCAGACTCAGTCCTAAGAGGCACAGATACAAACACAGACACAGTGATTCAGCTTCACAGAATAAGATTAATCCAAACACTGCAGATTACAGATCAACTCAAGTTAGGTAAATAAATAAATCAAGCTGAATCTTACTGAAGTGATCTGGAGATCCCAGTGTGGAGAAGACGCAGGTGAGGAACTGCAGCCGAACTTGGACCTCAGCACTGTGGCTGTACCTGCAATTAGAGCAACAAAAGCGCCATCACGAGGTTAGGATTAAAACAAAAAACGACAGCGTTGACAATAAGGCAGAGCGCAACTGGAAAGACTTACAGTGAGAACTTGTGCCTGTTTTCACGTACGTCCTGGATGTACTGCTGGAGGTTGTCGAAGAACAGTTTCATCATGTGCAGCTCTTTCTCTGCCCACCTAAACCAAAACACAGAGAAAATATTGTGACATTTCTTCTGTCTATTCGCTGGGGTTCAAATTCAGGGTAAATTGTTCAGCTTAGTCCTAACACAAAGCACAATGCCATAACTTCAAATGAGATTAAAAAAAAAGTAGGCCGCTAATACCTAAAGCTCAGCTGCAAATAAATAAGAAAAATGTCTAAATGTAGCGCAAGTAGGGAATTTGTTACAATTCAGACAAATAGCTAGCCTATGGTTGGAAACGCAGGTAAAGGTTGGCTGAAAATATAGTGAAAATGTCTAAAATTTCTGAGGACTTACATAGTGATCCAATGAGTGTCGTAGCTTGAGCCGAACTGCTGAAAAGTGCCGAAAAGTTTAGGGAGTAGTCGTAAAGAAACAACAACCGACCTGTTGGCAGAAGAAAAGTGTTAGTCAGACTCACAGTGGGATTTAAATAATTCATATATAAAAAAATTCACAGAAAATAGTACCTAGAACATTGGATAGCGCCAAAATTACAAGCATAATAAATGCAGTAGTTTACAATAACATTACCATATGAACTGGTACCAGAAACTACTACATTTTGAGCCAACATTACAATTATTTGTTGGAACTGCTGACAGTGCCTACAGTTTTGTGCATTTCCATTACAGGGTCCTGGACTAGTCTTGTCTTACCGGTGGTGGGCCAGATTGTCAAGACAGCCTTCGATAAAACGCATTCGTATCTGCCTGTCGGTGAACCAGCACACCAGTGAACACAGCAGCTTCTCTGCTTCGTTGATCAGACCCTCAGACAGATGGATCTGCAAAAGAACACGTGGGCGTGAAAACACAAAAATGTTACAATGTTACAAGTATAGCTAACTTAATTTTACCAAAGTCTCAGACAGATGGATCTGCAAAAGAACATGTGGGCGTGAAAACACACAAAAATGTTACAAAGTATAGTTAACTTAATTTTACCAAAGATTTCCACACTCTTATTTAAACCACTATTTGTCTTGGGGCCATTTATTGATTTATTTTTGATTTATTTTTAGAAACTTAAAACGATTAAAATAACTTTTTTTTTTTTAAAGATGATAACGTATGCAGTGAGGTTTTACCGCATCCTCGTCCTGCACCAGGTCCCACAGCAGAGTGTTGCCTTTCTTACAGACGTTGTCCAGGTTGATGTCGTTCATATTGTGGCCACTGCTGCTGCTGCCAGAGTACTGGTGTTTATGAACAGCTGGACCTTCACACAAACACCACAAACAGACGTCGACACAACATTAAACACTCCTCAATTGTTCAAAGAGCTGCTAAACTAATTTCATACAATGGTTTCTACAGTAATGTGTTTTGAAATTACACCAAAAACCAACAGTTTAAAACAAAAACTTTCAAGCCTGGTCCCTGAAGTACAGAGGGGCAGTAGCAGTGTGCAGCTCACCTTGCACCAGGTGCTCATGGTAGATGGAGGCCAGGTTGGGGAGGTGCTGCTGGAGGTGTGAACTGAGCTCAGCATGGGAGTTGATCTGAACAAGCTCCTCCTCACAGCCCGACTCCTCACCATCGAAGTCAGCCATGTTTTTCTCCGACTTGGCGCTGACCTGGGAGCTGCTACAGCTGACATCATCAGCGCTCAGCATGTCCTCCATCGTTGGCCTGAAGAAGGGGGACAGAGAGGGACACAGGACGGTCTTAGACTTTTGGTCTTTAGAGTTTTGAAAGTTTTGTGTGATCTGGTCTGTCATGGGATTTAACAAGAAAATCACAGGTTTGACCAATTCCTTTAGGAAATGTACAATTCTGCCACAACGAGGAGACTCCTCATCATTTTGTCAGCTATTTTTAGATCTTTAAACTATATGTTTTTAGATTTAGTCTACCACTAATAATGTAAAAAAAAGAAAGATCAGAGAACAGTCAGGAATTAGAACAGAAGTTTTCAGAACAGCTGCCTCACCCTTCATGGTGGTGGTGATGATGATGGTGATGATGGTGGTGGTGATGATGGTGGTGTGGACCCAGGAAGCGTCTACAGTTAAAAAGTTCACTGCCCATGGCTTCTCCTAAAAAGTCTCCAGGCCGGGGTAAACAGGGAGGCTCCTGTGTGCCTTGAACTACTTGGGGAGGGCCAATATCTGTTGACTTTTGCTGCTGAGGCTCCACAGCCTCGGGCCGTGTAGACGATGATGCTGAAGAAGCGTCCAGCATTCTCAAGCGTCCTTCCAAGGATGCTGAAGCTGCTGCAACCATAGCAGCAGAAGTCTCTGGGTTGTTAAACTGCAGCACTTTGGGTTTGGCTCCTCCCCCTGCATCACTGGGCCCCACGACCTGACTCAAGGCCTCACCGAGGGCCTCCCCAGCCTTTCTTTTCCTCGACTCTGCTTGTTCCCGCAGCTCCCTGGGCTGACCACCATCTGCTGCATGCTTGTTGCTCTCAACTTCATCCTCCTCCTCATCATCGTCATCATCGTCGTCGTCCTCCTCCTCATCTTCCTCTTCGTCATCTTCGTCTTCCTCCTCCTCCTTTAGGACCTCACTGTCAGCCATGTCGTCCGAGTGCATCTCACTGCCAGGGCTACCGGCCGACTGACTGGCTCTACTGGACGGAGCCTCGTTGCTCGAGGCCTCGCTGCGTCCACTGCTGCTGCCCGGCCCGCTGCTGCCTTCCTCCACGCTGTTGGCCGTCTCATCCGAGCTGCCCTGCATCGACTCCTGAGGAGACAGAAAGAAACAAAGGCGTTGTGCCAAGAGGGTCAACAAAATGCTACCAGAATCGTCTCCTCTCTCTTCTGCAAAATCAAACATGTTTGTGGAAAATCTGTATCTGTACCTCTGTATCCGACAGTCTCTGCTGACTCCTCTTACTCCCACTCATCATCTGTTCATCCATCTCCATGTCACTGCCGCCACTGTGCTGTGTGTCACTGTTGTCACTGCTATCTGGACTAGCAGCTGGAGAACCTAAGGCCAGGTAAAGACATAGAAACAGAAGCATGAATCTACTGAAAACATTCACCTTCAATGGGTGTTTAACCAATTGTCCGGGGGGGAGTGGAGGGTATCGGGGTGGGCTTTGTCTGATTCAACTGCTCACTGCCTTCAGCAAGTACAAAGTTTTGTCACTTTTGTGTCTTTTATATACCTCAGTAGCACAAACTGAACAAAGTGAGTGGTCTTTCTATTGGAGGAGCCAGTCTTACAGGTCATAAGATGTGACAGACTCATCATCCCTTTAAACCGACACATTCACTCAATGCAAACTCGACCTGACTGTTAAAAACCGCTCAAGCATAAAAGGCTGTTTGACACTGACCTTTCTTGTTGCCCATGGGGATGTTGGTGTTGAGCAGGGAAGCAAAGGAGCTCTGTTTGGAGTGCTGGGCCTTGGCTGCCAAAGCATTGTTCCACAGAGCCTTGATGAGCAGAGAGGCCAGGTACAGAGTCTGGGACAGTGACCGGAACAGAGAGGAGAGAGGGAAAACCTCGTTGTGAGACAGACAACACCCAAGATCTTTCAAGGATTATAGATCGTAATGCTACTTCCTGTTGTGGGAAAGACCCTTGGTTCCTGTTACCGTTCTTATATCTTAGAACTATTTCCAGCAGTAGTAAATCAGAAACATCTCTAGTTGCTGAAGAACTGTTACCCTACTGTTAAATTTTCACTCTTTGTCTTTTGTTATGTACACATAGCATTTATGAAACAGATTTGGTTCCGTATTACCTGTTCTGTGTGTGTGCTGGGGTGCAGACCAGAGACCAGGTTGAGAACATGACGTAGAGGAACAGGGTCCAGGTTTTTGATCAGTGAAGGGAAAAGGTCGTGGATGTATCGGCTGCAATGTTTCAGCTTAAAAAAAAGAAAAAATAATGTTACCATTTACCATTGTCAAAGAAAATAAATAAATAAATAAATATCCTTTTTGCTGTTTCCGCCACTAGGGGTAGCCATATCTGTGTTCTACATTTTGGTGACAGGTATTTGAATTTGTAGTTGTTTGTGGCCCATCTTACTTTGCCAGATTCTTGACTACCTTTTAGCCAGTACTGGTATCATTTCAAATTATCACGAGGTACCCATTAACTAACATTACTTTACATTAACTACACCAACAGGACATTTGGCAAGTTTTAAGCTTCTTTTTATGCAATCCCATCTCACCTGAGCTGCAGCCCAAATACAGTCCACATGCTGAGTGCTGAGTCGGCCCTCTGCAGCCAAGAAATTCAGGATCACTTGGCATTGTTTAATGATCTTGAAAACAAAAGGAAACACAACATTACAGAGTTGTATTGAAATCCAATTTCGTGCTCAATTTGGTGCTGTTACTGTGACAAGGTCAGCATATCAATAAACATCGGTCACTGAGTTTAACACACAGTTAAACATACAAAAACATTTAAATCACTGTTAGACATGTATGGCAACTATGGGCTTGTTTACATATTTCGTTAAATTCACCCATTTAACTACTTTTTCCATTTTTTTGTATTGAAGAAGGTTACATTCTGTTGTTGAGTTTTTACATTTACTCACCTCTATGTGCAAATTAGGGCCAAAAATGTGCTCAACCACATTGTTGTGGATCAACCAGTCAGCCAGTTCCTTAGCTATGGAGCTGGACAAAAAAGGAGGAGGAAAAAGAGACGGACATGAGGAAACAGTGAAACCTCAGTTAACTACAAGTTGCCTTCTTTTATTAGCTGATTTTTTTTAGTTAGTCCAGCAATCTCATTGCTTACTATTTATGGGGCTAAATATAGCTCCATAGATAGGGGCTAATCTTTTAATGCTATTTGGACAATCAGCAACTTCAGCTAACAAAAGGATAACATTTCGCTGTTGGTTGCCTAAATGTTGTAATTTTATTAGGTTTTAGCTAATATCATAAGTTGTGTTATTTTTATATTCATATTAACTTACATTTGTGTACACCGGAACCAAAGTCTCAGCAACTACATGGCAACGCATTTAGTTCCGTGAATAAAGGTTCCTGCAGCTACGCAGTGCAAATACAGCTTTACTTACGTTTCTGTGTCAGAAACCAGGGACTCGTTGTTGCAGACATCGTTGAACGTGTGCAGCTGATTCTGAAAAGCACATCCACACAACATTAGCAACATTATCTTATACATGAACTTCACCATACTGAATGTGACTTCTGTCACTAGGAGCTGAGCTGGTGAAAATCACTGACCTCCTTTAGCTTAGCTTCTGAAAGCAATACTGAGGGCTACGGACGTTGACATAAAGCTGACTGAGGTTATGGAAAAATTATATTCTGTGATGTCATTATCCACCATTTGACTTGTACTGAAACTCACGTAGTCAGTGGAAAAACACTGAAACGACCAGCTGGTCCTGACCATGTGTGCTTGCCATTGATGGGAGCTGCTACTCATCATCTCATATTCCCTGTGTCTGAGTTTCTGTTAGGCCTGATAATCTCACAGGGGGGCGATGGTTCCTTTGTAAGACCTGCGACTCGCAGCGTCATTCAAGCTTCAATAACCACTTTTAATTAAACTCTCAATAAAAGACTTTTAAAGGAACAAAGCTGTTCACTTTCTGTTTATTCTGTATTCCAAGGTGACTGTTGGCGAAATTGCCAAAACAAGGTCTAGCCTGAAAACATGGCTGTAAACGCAAACACAAGTAAAAACTAAAGACAAAAAAAAAAGCGAAACAGAAAGAAGGCGGCCTGACGCAGACTTTCATGACGCTGCTCCTATTTGTTTCACTCTGACTAAAAGCCCAGTCTCAGATTGCCACCCCTGAAGTGTCACTTACAGTGATCTGGCTGAGACCTGCCAGCCTCATGGTGAGCGTCGGGGACATGAAGTACTTGAAGGCCAGATCCAGACTCTCTTTATCAAAGCAAAGAGCGCTGTCTAGTGGTTCTTTCACTGTGCTCCACATCAGGTCAGCCATGTTACGAGCTGCACTTTGTCGCAGCTCCTGGTCGGAGAGCTTACACAAGTACCTGAGGGTAGACATTTCCATACGTTACTCAGGAACAAGAAGCACAGACACACACACACACAAAAACACACACTCAACTTATCCTTGAGACATGCATGTCTGTATTTTGTGGAAGAAAAAAAAAAAAAGAGTTTTTTTAAACATGTTTAATACATGCTTTTAAGAATTTGATAGAAACGGAATTTTACTTGTAAAAATTTAAGTTTGAGTTTAAATTAGTAAATTAAATTAAAATTAGAGTTATTAGAGTAAATGGACAAAAAGAGAGACATTTATTTTGAAAATTCCTTAGAATAACATTTATGTTGAGTGCCGTAGAGTTGGTTTATGCACCAATAATTTTTCACATTTCGGGAAGTCACATGCTTCGCATTTGGTAACTTAGGTCATTATCTGTCATTCAGGCAAAATGGGGCTTTTATTGTGAAAAGTGATGTTCAGACTGAAGAGCTATAGAAGCACCAGTCCGCCCATGCCACGTGAGGAGCTGCTGGGTTTTACTCAACCTCCTACACAGGTCATATGAGGAGAGGCAGCCGTTGCCATGGTAACAAAAACTTCCTGGCAACTGACATGTTGCAGAGAGAGAGAGAGCGAGAGAGTGAGAGTCAAAAGAAAACGCAAAGAAACAGAAAGGTGTGATAGAATGAGCAAAAAGGAATGACAGAGGTACAATGACAGAGAGAGAGAAACAGAAAACCACTTGTTCATATTTCATATATTTACAGCAGAAATAAAGAAGACAAGACACAAACAGATTAGTTATTTAAATGATACATTAAGTAAAAACAATAGAACAGTTAAAGCTTATCCAAATATTAATCGCTAATTGTACAATTAGAAGTTAGCTTTGAAACAGGTCAAAGTTTAATTTTATACAAAAGATAGCACAATTAGCAATGTTACATCAGGGTCCGTAAAATTAGTCTGAAAGGATTAAACATCTGTCTGCATACATTGATTTTCAGGTATAAACTCACCGAATCACGTAAGTGCGAAAGGGGATGATGTGCTGCATGACAGCTGGGATGTGCAACCAGATTCTGATCTGTGGACACAAACACACACCACAACTGAGAAATGTGGCCAAACCTCAAACCAGAAAATAATCCACTAGGGGGCGACTACACTGATAGAAATTTAAACATCACATCTCTCACTTATTTTAGGCATCAGTGAAAACAGTTCAGTCATTAAAGTCAATAAGTTAGTCCTATCAACGGGGTTACGTACGAGGCTCAGTCACCGAAGACTTGCCCCTGTCTGAATCACTAAGATGCTTAAGACACTCCACATGGAGCGACGTTTTTTTTTCTCTTTAAAGAGACTGAATTCTATTGGATTCATAGGTGACCAGGATGTGCTGTAGGTCGTGACATGGACTCACGTTGGAGACAATAGTGATGAAGGCGTGGGCGATGGGGAAGGGGAGGCTCTCTGGGGTACCCGATTCGAAGCATTCCTTCATCAGAGAGAGTCCGTGTTTCCCACAGAACAGGCAGACGTAACGCAGCAGATGCAGGGGAACCTCCACGTCCTGGTCCAGTAAAGGCACATTTCAACAGATACATCGCATTACAACCTTTTCAATGATTAACTTCTCAATGCAATATACGACTGTGTTATCTGCGATAATCTGGAGTTCATAAATCACTTATCATTCAGCACATTGGTTTAATGAGACGACCACAGATTTAACATTAACATCACCATCAGCAATTAGTAATCCACTTCACGATTTAAGTATTTTTGCAAGCATCCAAATCTTGAAAACACTCAATTATTTGCAAGCATCCAAATCTTGAAAACACACTTGAAAAATCCAAACATTTTCATAATTTTCCAGCACCTTTTTAAAATAATAATAAAACAGATCTTTCTGCTCCAGCTGTTCCCAAAGCAGTGAGCAGTGATGCATGTTCACTGACTGCATTCCTGTTCTCAGCTTTGTCCTGAGCCACGTGGTCCTGGACTTTTATGAGACTCAGCAGACTGTAATAATAATGTGGGTGTGGGCCAAACAACCAGAGGGCAGGAAATGTGGACAATACCTAAACAAACGGACCCCTGGCCTGAATGATATAATTTAACATTTCTGATCTGAGAGGCTGGACTAATACATGAACTTGAAATAAAACTAAGATCAAGGTTTCTAGTTTGAACCCCCCCACCAGTTTAGCCACCAGGGGGAGACTTTGCTAGACTTTTTGCAGAGCTACATAAAATGCATCTCCTTTTATAGATGATGGCACCAGTCAAGGTTTAATCCTCATTCCTCTTTTTAAAAATAAGAGGTATTAGGTAGGTACTTTGTGCTAGCTTTTGGTTATTGAATGGCTATTTTTAAGCAATTTTAAAAAACTAATTTTGACATGCTCTATAGTCTGGTTCAGAAGCAGTTTTTTAAATATATATCAGTTTGCTAATGTAGAATCTGTGGTCTGACTGAAGTGTCTTTAACACTAACTCTACATTCAGGACGAAGTCTCTTTCTTACGTTCATGTCGCAGAAGGAGCCCAGAATGGTGCTTTCATGAGCCGATATGTCCTGAAAAGAATCGTACAATCAGAAATGCCTGAGATCACATTAACCATAAACACCTGCCAAGGATAAAATGATTTACACATTGACAGTCTGAATGATCTTTAAGGTTCCAGCTGACATTGTTCATTCTTGATGCTGTGTAGTGTGCTGTAACTTTGAGTGTCTCACCTCTATCGTAGGGTGTGTGTTGTGTTTGTAGGCCGTATAAAGAGGGAACTGGATCTGAAAAATCTTAGCAGCACACAGCAGCAGTTTTTCCCTCTCTTCTGTGCTCCACGAGCTGAACAGGTCCTGACCCTCAGTGCTGCAGCCGCCCCCATCGCCTTCACACCCAATGCTGCCCCCAGACACAATCTCGTCCACCTGGCAATCAACAGGTGGGCTGGGCTTGGGTTGCACCTGGTTCTGGCTCACAGTCTGGGTTAAATCTGGTGTATCAGCGTCCTCTTCTGCAGAGTCTCTTTCCACATTCACAGGCTCGTCCTCGCCACAGGAGGATGGCCTGATGGCTGCCTGGACCCCGCTGCTCCATTCAGGGCCAGGACCCTCCCGTGCATGAACGCGGTCCTGGACACTGCACAGACGGTCTCTTAGACTGCTGATCTGACTGATGACCAGGTTAATGAGGGCGTACACCAGCTGGTTGAAAACCTCAAGGTGCTTGTACTCTTTGAAGCAGCAGAGACATTGTCTGCAGACAAAATCAGAAACCCCCCCAAAAAAAACAGTTTTTCAATTTCTCTTCAATTTTTCTTATATTACAGCTCTACAAATTACTCTCATTTAATCCTCGTGTGTTCTTTATATAGGACAAGTTTCAGGATCGACAGTTCTCACCTCTGAGTCCAGGAACTGATGTAGCCCAGAACTCGCACAGCATGTTCCTTCTTCAGCTGGAAACCACCTTCGCTGCCGTCTGCATCTGATACTGAGGAAAATGAGAAAGTGAAATTTTAAAATTAATATCAACACATCAAAAAAAAAAAGAAGACAAGGGATAAAAGTTGAACTGAAAGATGGCAGACTGCACCATTATTACTTTGTCCCCAAAAGACAGGAACAGTGAATCCTTGGTCTGCTTCCTTAACCAACTGTGGCAGCAGTAGATTATCTTCACTAGCTTTCACAATGCATGCTTAACTCACATAATTTACAACATTTGTGTGAGCGTAGCACTGGCACCATATGGCTGATGAATTAAAAATAAAACTCAAGTAGGAAACAACCTGTTTTAGTATAAAAAAAAACCCAGAATCTCAACCCTGTGATAGAACAGATCTTAAGACCATAACGTCTTCACATTTGTCCAATAACCACAAACGTTCATTTGTTGCTTTCATTGCTCCTATGAAAACATGTTCACTGCAGGCACTAGTACTCCAACCTCAGGGCTATAACAGTAAGTATGTGACACATTGTTAAACACCAAGAATTATAGACAGGGCCCTTCTGCAAGAATTAAGAAGGGTTTGAAAAAACATGTTCACTGAAATAACATGTACCAAAGACTGGGGGCAAGTTTTACACTGCAGACACAAATATTTTAAAACCAAAGACATGAAAACAGCATTAAGACTATTGTACAAGAGCTACAATATAGCGGCAGAGCTCGCAGTATACGGCCTTCCATCTTCCAACAAATGCAGAACTTGACCACTGCATTTTATTTCACTTACGTACATCCAAATTAGATCAAGAGAAACGTTGCAACAGTGAATGTAGACAATAGGAGAATTCATTTACATGACTTTCTCTGGACAAAAGCAGCTTGCCTTTGTAAAGAGTAGCTCAGTAGCAGTTGCCAGGTACAGCTTTGTAAAATGAAGACTGAGAACTGGACGGTGACTCATGGGGAAGACTGAAGACAAAATGTCTCCATAGACAAAGGACTACTGTTTATCAGTGAAGACACCACAGTCCTCATCATTATTTGACAGCCGGTCAAATACTGAGAAACACTGATGTACGAGACTGTATAGGAAAACAACACTGTCTTAATACAACTAATAATTTCGGTGTGAAAACAAACACACATCTCCCATTCAAAAATGTCATTAATCTAAACGGTAAACAATGTAGGTGGTCGATGTCAGAATGATTCAGGTTGTTTTTTTGTGTGGTGTGAATTAGGTGGATTATTCATAACAGTGATATGTAAAGAATCGAAACTCAGAGATTTGTCATATCTGCAGGAAAGTTTAATTAGTTATGGGGGTTGGTAACAGCATCCGAATCTCTTACCATCTATCTCATACACACACACACAACTTGATGCTGAAACAAGGTCAGAGGTCACTGATACAAAAGAAATCTCTCAGACAAGCTGACAGAATACACAGCCACTCTGCTCAACTATGGAACCATACACAAACCAAGTCGAAATAGGCTGCAGAGTGAATGTGGGCCATGTAGCTAATGTTCTTACTTGGATAATTTGCTAGGTCAACAGCAGTTTATTAGATACACAAGACCATTTCAGTTGGAAACGGTACTTTGCATAGTGCTTAGCAATAAATGAGCATTGTATTTGGTCATAATTTGTCTGGAGCTCATTTTGTTTTAAAATATTAATAAAATTGTATCATGAAGAAGAAAAATTAATGTGTGAATCGTGTTGTATATCGTGAGTTGAGTGTATTGTTACATCCCTAGTTTTTAATCATTTAAAGAAGCTCACGTTTAAAGATACATATATTGACAACAAGTATGTTTTTGTTGTCTGTTCTCTGGGCTGGAAGTACACTATTACAATCAATGGTAGCAATTTCACTTTTTATACGGCCAACTGAGCAAGAAATGGTTTGCCATCTAGGACAGGTGAACCTCGGTTTTGGAAAGACCCTTAAAAGCCTATCCATTTAGCATTGAACAGTAAATTGTCTTGGACAAATTATGAGTGCATTTCATATTAAATCTATCAATCAGCAATGAAAGGCTCAACTGTTGTGTTTAAGATGGAGTTCATGAGTAGCCAACAGAGGGCCCATAATTTGATGCAATGTTTGGGCTGTTTTCAATTCTACTTTAGAAAGAATCTGCTATAGGACCGTAGCACACCGATGGTGTCACAAGTTATTGTTTTCATTAGAGAACGAGAAAAGTACGTCTGCAGTCGTCATTTCCGCCTATCCTCTCAACTTCTGGTTGGCTACGACTAAACAACCAATGACAACGATCAATGCCGATTAACGATTATTTTAGTATAAATAATCGGTTGTTGATACGCAGGGTTTTTGCCTGATTAGTCCCTAAACGTCAGTTCAGTTCGTGTGCTCCAGGCCTTTGACAGAAAGGCCTCAAGTCTGTGACTGACTGACTGACAATAACAAGAAAAATAGGTTTCAACATTGAAGCGGCAGTAACACGTCGTTGTAACAAAATGACACATATGCACACGGTTAACAACATGCGACAGGTTGCATAGAATAGACGCAAACAAAATTAATGGTCGATGGGGGACAGAATGCCAATCAAACAAAGTTGTTGTTAGCAATGTTAGCCGCTGGAGTCAAAAGCAGCAGTGCTAATGTGCTAAAGGCTAACAGATGAGAGTCATTGTTGGACTTACTTTGATTCAGAACCTCCAGCAGCTCGGCGCAGTTTTCACACATTGTTGGTGAAGAAGGAAAACTGACAGCGGTTCCTCACACCATGGTACTGCTCACACTGTTGTTAGCCAGAGCTGGTGCTGCTTGTTTTGGGGGGGTTAAAAAATAGGCCCGGTGGAGGTGGAAGAGCAGGAGGAGGAGGAGGAAAAGGGGGAGGAGGAGACGGCCGGGCTGGCGAAGGTTATTCCACTGAAACAACACGAAGGAACAAGGTGACCGAAAAGCGAGATTCCCCTCTAGACGAGAAGACTGTGCGGCGTCAGTTTAAAGACAGCGGTAACGGAGAAAAGCGAGTTCAGTCTGCAAGCTGAGCGTCACCGGAGAGTAGCAGACACGGCGGCCATGTTGAAAAAGGAGGGGAGGGAGAAACACACACACGGCAGCGTGGAAGCTTCGGCACTTTCCGCTGTCGTCTCCTTTGGCCGTTCGGCCGTCTCCGGTAATCTCGCGAGACTTCACCAGAAGACGTTTGCTTTTTCCCTAAAACATGCTTTGAGTTGCGTTACTGCCACCTAGAGGCTATTTAGATAGATAGTTTGATTACGTAGTAAGCAAATCAAGTTGAATCGTTTTTAAACAGTTTAACTACCAGAAAAACAAAAACAAACAAACAAACAAACAAAAAAACGTAAATAAAACAGACCCTTGGTTTTTAAGACAGCATGATTTTCCCAGAGCACACTGGCCAATTGTTTAGATATTTGTTGCCAATTATTTTGATCACTACAAAGCCCAGTATAAAATTAAAAAGAAGGTGTTGGTACATCTATCACACACGCAAAGTTGGATCTGTAGTCCTTAACATAAACCACAGAAGATGTTTCATAAAGTTATATTTCAAAGTCCAAATTGGTGGTTCATACGTAAAAGAGGACAGCTCCAAAAAACAACAGACCTCTGTGCTGAATCTACGGAAGCTGGCCACCCATCAGCGATTAGTTAAACATAAATAAGATAAATAAATAATAAATAATAAATATTTTCTTCCCAGGGCATTACAAATATGCTCAAAGCACCACCAAGCTAGGCAGAAAGAAGATCTACAGTGCAGGCTTTACAAAATTACAAAATATATATTACTAGAACATTCAAGACTACAATTTTAGCAGAAAATAAGTGAACAAATACAGATACCTATAAAATAATCATATTAAAAACACATTATTGCATATATATTTAACATGATACTAAATTGTACAAAATCAAAGATAGCATACACAATTTAACCATAATTAGACTTGAGAACAGAGTTGTTAAAAAATCAGAGACAATTTGTTACCGGAAATATGATGCAAATTAAACAGAATTAACGACTGCCCAGAAATACCTTAATAAAAGTTATGACATCGTCAGCAAATATAATGTAAACACAGGTGAAATAACTGTCAGCTGACTTTGATGTAGACATTGCTACAAGTTAGCCAAAAGTGTGCTGAGATGATTAACACATGATGATGAAAACATAAAAATATATTTTATTGCTTGCATTCTTTGGTCTTCTCATCATTTTGCCCTTCAATGACAACTTCAATCACCTACCTCCTGCGGTCTAGTGATGTCATTGCACTCACTCTCATCCGAGTAACTCTCGTGGTCGTCTGAGTAGTGGCAGCTATCGTCTGAGTTTCGGTGGCCGTCCTCAGGGTCTTTGCCATATTTTTCCTCTTCCTCGTTGTCTTCACTTTCTGTGTCTTTCTCAGGTGGATCGTCTAAGTCATCGTCGTTTAGAAAGACTTTTCTGTACTGAACAGGAAGGTATCCCATCTTGCCTGTGATGTCACTGTCACTGGGAGAACAGAATTAGCAAAGAATGTTTATAGGGATCAAAGTGAATAAAACCATAGATGACTTTGAGAACACAACTGAAAGGACTGGTTTAGCCACTTTACAAAGTATCAACAAAGCATTAATGAACTTCAGTCTACAATATATTAAAATACACTTAGAGAGAGCGCATGGTGTCGCTTTTAAAGGCTACCCTAAAGATGAATGACAATTTTTGTCCTTTTATTTGGTTGAATGATTTGTTATAATTCTATGAAATGTTCTAAACAATGAGTTGGCATCAGACATAGACCTGGGTTTGCCACCGACGGACTGTAAGTCTCTGCATGCAGATTCAGACTCGACCGTTGACTTGCTGACGACCAGCTCTGGACTCAGGTCACAGCCACGCAGGGCATGTTTATAGCGTTTCTCTGCTGATTGTCTGGCGTTGACCTAAAACCACAGCACAGGTTCAAGAGCAGCTGTGAGTACAAGGAAGAAAACATTTTAACATGTAACTCAGTTGATCAGATTACAGCTTCTGTCATTACGTTTCTTTGAACACAAAACTGTGTGAAACAGCTCTGCTCAAACTCATGATTTAGCTTAGTATTTGCCAATAAATGTGCCCAGTGAGCTAAAACTTCATTGTCATAATGAAGAAAGATTTCTGGTGAATAAACTACTAAATCAACATAATCCAGAACAAGATTTAAAGTGATCTGTTGTGAAAATGTCTGTGGCCCTGACTCGGTTCTGAGAGAGCTTTCGGTACCTGTGCCACCTGCTCCAGTAGCAGGGGTCTGAGTTTGACTCTCTGCTGGATTTCCTTGATCTCCTGCTGGTACTCTCTCCGACGCTGACATTCCTGTTTTCTAAGAGTAAATGACATTACACATGCACTTTAATCACCAGAAAAAAAAAAACAGCTGAGCTGCTTTTGGTGTTTTACCCTCTGTGGAAAAAAAACTATTTAAACCAAGAAAACATGTTTTAGACGTTGATGAAGACACTTGCAAAAAACAGAAACTGCTGGTCTACTGCTGCCTGTGGTCAGGTTATAACACTGAAGTAAATACTAATGTTGGACACCATTGTAAAATGACACTTCAACTGGTCGAAGTTTCTCTCTGGACTTAGACGAGCGCGTCAACTGTTTTGGTGCATAATGTTAAGATTACATAAACTTCAGATGACTTTTGATTCTCGTAGCCAAACCTTTTCGTTGAAGTAGCTCAAATGTTGCTTACAGCAATGTTTAAAATAAAAGGGAAACGTCAACCAAAAGGATCTCTTAAAGTGACAAACATGTATTTTCAATGAACCTGAAATCTGTCAGTTTGGCCTGCTGGGTCTGTGAAAGTGCCTGGTGGGGGTCGTTGGCTTGGGCCTTCTTCAACACCACCCTCTTCAGCTTCTTCTCCCGCTGCTTTTGCTTCTCCCTCCACCGCTCCTCCTCTTCCTCGGCCTTTTTCCTCTGCTCCAACACCTTTCTGCTCAGGGAAACAATCTGGTCACAGATGAGGGCGTTTTTGGAGTCACAGGGTTTTAATGTAATTGAGGGAACTAGTTAGGGATTTCCAATGAATCTACAAAAACACTGTTTGGGAAAGATACTAAAAGTTGCACACCCAAACCTCAGACTAGTTATACAGCAACAAACTAGAGTATGGTGAGTATTTCTCAAAGTCAATGCTTCTTCTTTAGAAGCAAAGATCGTTCAAAGTCAGTTCTCACAAAATTCCCCGCATTCTGAGAAAGGAAAAATTAATGTAACACTTACTTCCTTATATCATTGTAAAGTTTGTTCGCTGTTACGCCATGAAATTACAGCCCTTTATTGTTCTGAGGGAAAGACTTTAATCCTTTATGAAACTGAGGTAGAGATACAAAAACCATAATTTGACTTTGATAAACAACCACAATCTCTAGGGGAGGGGCTTTCCGAGAAAGACACTTTGAAGGTAGGGGTATTCCAGGGATTTCCTAGGAGGTGATGCAACTACAGCTATAAGTGGATTACAAGTCTATGAAATAGTCAGATATCAGGGAATTCTATTTTATTAGTTACAAAAATGTGGTATTACTCAAAGCTAAAGAGCGTGAAGATCCTTCCAAGTCACCCGCCTAAGTCAGCAGTTGTATTATAGAATGCCTAGGACTCACATGATTGATATGAAATTTTTTCTGAATGCTTAGGACTGAATGGACTTGCACCATGTCAAAAATACATGGAATTTAGAACCTCTCTTTACTCTGAGAAACACCAAATGTCACAGCTTCAACTACAATGTCAGAAGCCCTTGGAGTCCTCAGACAATACCTCACAGCCTCATGACGCTTTTTGGTAGCATCTGTATCTTTGGCAGGAATCATCTCCAGGCTGCTGGAGAGGGAAGAGCAGAGACTTGAAGTTGGTGTGTGATTTAGTCCAGTGCTGAGGTGAAGCCAACGCTGCATCCTGGGGCTGCTCTGCTGCTGGTCCTTCTCGATGTCAGCCAGGATGCGATCACGGTGTGAGGGTATCTGGGAGGTCCTGAGGTCGAAGGGTTCACACATAGTCGTTGGCTTCACCTCTTTGAGTTTCTCTAGGTGTTTTTGGAAGCGTCTGTAGCTAGCATCGAAGTCCGGCACGTCCTTGTTGATCTGAGGTTGGTGGGTGAAGCTGCTTTCACCATCGACCTTGTTTTTTTTACGATCACTGAGACGGCGTTCTAGCATGCTGGTTGGCACTGAGGCACTGTGCAGCAGCTCCTGAGCTCTCATCTGTTTCTTTATGGAGCGATACAACTGCTCCTCCTCCATCTGCTGCCCTGATGCTGCGACGTACACAGACTTAGGCACAGGCCTGGCCTTGAAGGGTTTGACGTTGTCCTGGTCGGACGGTTGTTGTGACTGACGGCACTCTCTCTCCTCCTTCTTCAGTCGCTCCCTCTCCAAAAAACTAAAAGGTTTTGGAACAGTTTGGTTGGGATGTTCCTTTTCTTTAATGTTTCTTTTTTGGTCTTTAAGTTCTTCATAAAGAGGAAGGTAAACGTGTGCAGGCACAGGACTGGCACGGAACTTTTTCTGGCACTCTTTGAGTTCTTCCAGCTGACGCCGTAGCTCTGCATTCTCTAACTCGACCTCAGTCCGTGTCCTGATGCCATGCTTTTGTCTTTGGGCCTCACGTAGGGTCATGTGAAAAGGTTTCGGTATGGTCATTTTGTGTTTCCAATTCTCCTGGTCCTGATTCTTCCTGGTCCTCTCATTTTTTCTACTGACTGTCTTCTTCTGCTCTCCTGGGAGACTCTGGAGTGAGGAGGATGACAGGTGGAGGGTGTTGGGCGACACCTTAAAGTCACACCACATATTCTTAAGGAGTGACTTTGGGGACAAGAGTAGGTCCTTGTCCAGGTCATTATTAGCAGATTCATTCTTGATGAAAGAGTCCAAATGACCTGAACACTTCCTGAGTTCCCCAGCAGAGTGCGACTTTCGTAAAGGCTGGAGTGTCGCCGAGCAGCTGCTCAAACAGGGTGACCTAATCAGAAATATAAACAGATAATATTAAGAAATACCTTGTGTGTCAGCTTCTTTGATCCCTATGTTCTTTGTACAATCGTGAACCTTTGCTCTGCCTCCTGCGTGGTTATGTGACATGGATCCAGGAAATGATGCTGCAGCTTGCGATGGTACATGTTCTCCAGCTCTGCCATGGTGTGGAGGTGGGCCTTCTTCAGCTCCTCCAGCTTGGCATAGTACTCCTCATTGGAGAAGAATATGCTGCGCAGGTCAAGTCGGTCTCTGACCCCACGCTCCTGATCACAGGAGTCAGAGCCCGAGTCTTCGTACTCCAGCTGGGAAAAAACAAATGCAAAGGCTCCATAAGAAATATAAACAGAGGCATAAGATATAAACATTTGTCAAAGACAACAAAATACCATCATCAAGAACTGTGATGTTTTTATATTATATTTATATTTATATTATTTAAGAGATAGACAAGAATAATGAAAATTCTTGTCTAAGATCTGTGTTTTGAATGTGATTAATCAGAGAGTAAGAAACTTACAGATACCGTTTTCTTTACTATTAAAATAGTTTTTGTAAAGATTTTTACAATTAAAGCCAGAGGTTGAAGGGCTACTCAAAGCCGATGTGTCAATTCAGCCAATAGGAACACAGAAGCTGAAGGTCTACTGCTGCCTCTTGTGTTTAGTTTGTGTCACTGATGTAAATCTGGAATTTAAAGTTACAGACTTTATAACATAACACATTTTATATAGATTGTTTTTTCTGTAGATTGTGTTTGTATATCTGTTAAGAATGCTTTCATGATGTTTTATATTTAGGATTAAGAGAACATCTTTAAGCACATGCAACGTTAAAGTGGAAGAACAAGAAGAAGAGTTTGGGCTAGTTGTTAAATCTCTGATTAAGATCATTATCCGGCTGCAGACACAGGCCATATGGCTACAGTGAGCAGCTTAGAGGCTAAGGCAGCCTTTCCGCCCCCTTACACACACACACACCAAGTGTGTGTCACTGACCTGGATTCAGATCTCAGTCTACATCTGACTCTTCACGTCATAAAGTTGTACTGCATTAAGTTAAACTACTTAAGATTTTTAAATCAAAGACTGCCACCTGACCGTCCTTCACTCCTTTAGCAAATAAACAACACATTAGCCAGCAAGACAGTATTAAAAGGTAGCCGTAATGAAGCTAGAAGGTAGCACAAACTGTCTTATAACATGGTTTGTGTATAGTTTTCTGAATTTGTTTTTTCCTAAAGAATGATTTATATTTGTTTTCTTTTTCATCGATTTTTCCAATGTACACTTAATACCAAGTTCGTTAACATTATTTTTAACTCATAGCTTTAATTAATAATTCGCTTCTTTTTTTTTCACCTCTTTCTCGTAGTTCCGGTTGTCAATGTGGACGGAGGGCTCGCGTTCATACGCAGCCAACGGCACTTTTGTCTCAGGGTCCACCGGCGTCTTCAGACATGACGTCACCAGTACGGTTGTCCGGTGACTTTTTTCCATTTTTCTTTCAGGACCGCACAAACAAACAAATAAAGAAACTCCCGCTACGTTATGAAAATGTAAAAACAAGCTGAGGTATTAATGAGCGCTGTTCTAACTGTGGTCGCGCTCCTCACGCTTAAAGCCTTTTTAGGCAACAGGTGCAGGGGGCGGAGTCAGTCTTCACCGGAAACGGCGGTCATTTTCAAATTAAAAGCAAAATAAATATATATTTTATTTGGTCAGGTAAAAATGCGATTTAAAGAATGCGATAAAGTAGACATTGAACTGAAGTTATTGACTTACAGAACTAAGTAATGTACAGCTCATAAATCCAGACTTATTTGCTCTTAGCTAGGCTTAACGATCAGTGTTCTGTTACGGTATTTCTTTATATTTTAAATTGTTTTTAATCTTTTTATCAACATAAGTCCCTGAAGCTTCAAGTAAACAAAGGTGTCTTGAGAAAACGTGTTATGCTTTTAATGGTAGATCCTTGAGCTGTCAATTACACAATAAATAAAAAGTAGTTTTCAAAAATTACATGTAAGCAACATTTGCAAGATTTTCGTGATACGAGGAAACATTTAGAGTTAGGAGTGCTTAACTGAGCTCCATTTTTCCACTCGACACTGTAGCATTCACTGTCCCTTGCTGGGTTATTTTACCCATTTTTATAATAATATAAAATGTTTTTATGATTATTTTATATAATCAATATATTTGTTTATATCTATGTTTTTGATGTTTAGATGGGGGTAAATGTAATTAATGATAGTATATTTCTGGGGAGCTGGAACAAATTAATTGTTTTTTAATTATTTTTTAATGGGGAAAATGCAATCGAGATATGAGCAGATCAACATACGAGTGCTGTTGTGGAACAGATTAAACTTGTATCTTGAAGCCCTACTCTACTTTCTTATTTGTGTTGTGACAATTATCCATACTAGACAAAAAACACAAAGGGGTGGAGTGTGAACAAAAAAAGCCTTTATTTTATTAGCATTAAATTATGTAAAGTAACACATACAGTGGAACTGTTAGTGGACAGATTCCTCTGATCTCTCTTGGCTTTACGACTCCAAACCTCTTACCGAGTGTTCACCTGAAATGAGAACAAAAACTCTTGATGACGTCCAACCAACAGATACAAGCAATAAAAAGAACCTTTGGGCCAGCTCTGTGGAGTGTCTTACCAGGTCGTCGATCTTGAGAATGCTGCGGACGGTCTCTGTGGCCAGAGTAACAGCGCTGATTGAAACCAGCAATGGTTGAACCACCAGCTCCTCCAGGATGTTAGAGATACCACCCTAAAAAACATTATTAACAAACATTATAAAGTAGAAAAGGAGGAAGTCACCATGCAGTGATATCAGTGACTTCTAGCACAGGAGGTAGGGTTTCTTAATCTATAGTTGCAATTTTTTATTAAAATGAGACATTAGGGCCGACCTACCTTTCTCACGTTGATTCCGGCCATCTTTTCGCCCTGGGCATGGCGGTTGCGCAGCTCAGTAACCGTGGAGATAGGGTTGAGGCCGGCGTTCTCTGCCAGTGTGGAGGGAATCACCTCTAGCGCATCAGCATATGCCCTCACACAGTAGGCCTCCATGCCGGGCAGAGTTCGGGAGTATTCTGCCAAACGCACTGCCAGCTCAATCTCTGCAGCGCCCCCACCAGCTATCAATGCTCTGACAGCCAGACAGACAGACGTGATTAGAGAGAGAACCCTCTACCACTTCTAAAAAAGAATGGACAATTGTTGCCATTCCTATAGCTTTAAATGACAGCTAGAAATCTGTTGAAAAACAAAAGCTTACTTGTGTTAATATTTTTGAATAACAAATATTTTGTATTATGTATTGTTTGTATGTTGTTCTTTTTTTATAAAGGTATGTTAATTATTTGTGTGTCTGTGTGTGTGTAAACACCAACACTGCTACGATGCTACCACAAGTAGCAGTGGACAAATGGGCAGTGTTCACTTATTTTCTTTTCCTCCGTTCGTTACGCTCTCACACAACAAAACAATGAGAGAGCGCCTTTGTCAGAGGGCACAAAAATTGTCCATTTATTTTACTTAGCTACTTTTGCTTAACTTTTAATTTTTCTGGCAATTTCACAGCTCATGTTTAGCTTATTTGCAAAAATTGAAGATTTAAAAGTTTAACATGGATTAAACACATTTCTACCCAAATCAAAGGACTTTCAGCTAAATGTTAAGCATCTAAACAACTAGGACCAACATTGGTCACTTTGGAAAGGTTTATATGCCCCAGTTCGGCAACCCCTCACCTCTTCTTGACTAAGCAGCGGATGACACAGAGGGCATCATGGATGGATCTCTCCGCCTCTTCGATCACCAACTTGTTGGAGCCTCGAACCACGATGCTGACTGTCTTCCCTGGACTGGTGCAGCCTGTGATCTGTGCAAGAATGCACAACAGCAGGTTCAGTTTGGTTCTCATATGTGTGAAGGCTCAACCACATTCGAATTCCAGCACCAATCTCATCCTACCTTCACTAGTTTACCAGAGCCGTCCAGACTGACCTCCTCTGCCAGCTCTGCTGTTCCCAGCATCTCTGGAGTAAAGTGGTCGATATGGGCGATTGGTTTGGTGCCAATGGTCTGAAAACACATTTTATTTCTGAATTACACCAAATAGTTCATCACACACAAAGTATCCATCCATCTCAATTTAAGGTAAGGTGAAATAGAGGTTAAAGTTACATTTAAAGTTGTCAAAACCTATTAAACATGTTTTAGTGCAAAGACACTGCAGACACAGCTGGACAACAGCACTCACCTTGCAGATGAATTCGATGTCCTCTCTTTCAATGTCTTTAACCACCATGATCTTCATTTTGTTCAGGAAGTGCACAGCAAGGTCGCTCAGAGCATCTCTGGGGCAGGACAGTTTGAGGTCAATAGAAAACCACTTGTAAACAGACAGACACACACACACAATGCTCTGCTGGTCGACGATGGTCAGCGTTAAGCTAAGATGTTGGCATACCTGAGGATGGACTTTTGAATAAGCAGCACGTTGCAGCCAGCTTTCTTGATCTGCTTCACCAGGTTGAGAATATAAGCACGTTCCTCACGAAGCACTCGGTCCATCTGGGCATAGTCTGACACAACGATCTGGTTGTCCATCTGCAAATCAGAGAATCAGAGACAAACTTAATAAACTTGAAAAAAGTTTTTTTTTTTTTAAGGACTTCAGCACTTTTTTTGAGCTTGCAATCCACAACCAAAACCTACACAAAAGAAATCCCAGCTAGACTCTTTAATAAATATTGTGTTTTAAGTCTGGTAAGAAAAAGAAGAAGAAGAATGTCAGTGATCATGTGACTCACGTCAGTCTTGGGCGGGGACAGGCAGAACTGGATCAGGCCGATTTTGGCCTTCTCAACACGGCTCACACCAGTGTTAGCCAATCTCTGGGTCAGAACCAATCCTTCCACCAGCTCACAGTCGTCGATAGTACCGCTAAAAAACATAAAAACAAAAATATTTTAAATTCAAGTTAAAGAACAACAGTATGACATTTAACACATAATTTAGTTGCATTAGTCACTTTGACAAAGACTACAGATGACGCCTGTCACGCCTGTCTCACCCAAGCTTCTTAATGATCTTGATGTCCTGCAGGTCAACACCAGTGGCTGTAGCCGGGTCGATGACTCTCATGACAGCGTCCACACTCATGGGGGCCAATAGGCTTGAGTATTGAGACACAACTTTTGAGCACAGTGAGGTTGTGGCGCTATTGAGCAGTGTTTCTCGGTCGCTAAGCTCCACAGGACGACTCATGGATGTCAGCACCTCTACGCCTTTGTCCACTGCCTTCTGGAAGGACTCGGAGATGGTGGTGGGGTGGATACCTGACAATTTTACATTGTCACAGATGAAAAACTCAGCAAAAATGTAGCGCAAAAGATGCACTAAATTTAAGATATACGTACTCAAGATAAATTCAAGATATACGTTATACATTGTTCAAAGTTTTCAGTCTGATTCTTGTAGTAGAATCACACAAAGTGCAATTAGAAGCCAATGTGTGCCAATACATTCTACATGATCCTTTTAAAAACCTTGAATCAATTGTTTTTTGCAAAAACAGAGCTGGCTCCTCACTCTTACCTTTGAGCAGCAGCTTGTAGCAGGCGTCCAACAGAGCTCCTGCGATGACTACCACAGAGGTGGTGCCATCTCCGGCCTCTATATCCTGGGCTTTGGACAGTTCTACAAGCTGAGACACAAATAATTGACTTGAAGTTAAAAATGACAGTAACAAGTATCTACTGGCAGTAATTATGTAAAAGGTGCTTTATCCGTTATGCCTCCTTAAAAGAACTGAGACGGTTGTAGTGGAACCTACCATTTTGGCAGCCGGGTGGAGCACCTGCATCTGTTTAAGAATGGTGGCTCCATCGTTGGTGATGGTAACGTCACCTTTCTCATCCTGAATCTAAATTAAAAACAAGGTTACTTCTCACGCAAAAACAAGATGCACTGAATGAACCCCGAGAACAGAGTTTCTTCTTACCATCTTGTCCATGCCTTTGGGTCCTAGACTTGTTCTGATGGCATCTGCAACAGCTGCAAAAGAACCAGAGGGTTGATCATCACTGCATGTTGAAAATCACCCTGTTTTATTCTACGGTTTATAAAAAAAGGGTTGCAAATTTGACAGCCGATTGAATATAGAATGACTATTTCAAAAGAAACAGAAACCCTGACCTATGGCTGCTGACATCCCTTTCTGTTAAAAAAGTTAAACAGACCATAACAGTTAAATACATGAATCGGTTTAAGGTCAAAACCAATTTAAAGATATATTTGCGACTGAATTGTTCTAAACTACTACACAGATTACGTTATCTTGTATCCTCTTACATACATGCAACATGACTGCTGTTCATATTCTGGATGATGAGCAGCTAATTGAAACTCCGACGTGATGTACAGTCAATATTCGTTGATAATTTGCCGTTTCATTCTGCTAGCTACCAGAAGCCCATGACTCAAGACTGACAGCAACAGAAAACTCATGAGGAGCTTGTGAAAAACAAAATCATTCGGTACCTAACGAATTTTACCAATGAATACATTTTACATGCTGCATATATCAACTTAGTTATGTATATTTAACCACAAGATTAAGAATTTATTCAATGCGGTTTCGGATAAATGAGCAGCAAACCCTGCCAAGTCTGCAGATGTGATGTATCTATGTATGTAACTTGTATTTGTGGTGAAGCCACAAGTTAAAATAGCGACACATCTGAACTTACCCTTTGCGGCAGAGATGTTGCTAAACCGAATCTGGGCCGGCTTGTCTCGGTCCACATACGCCCTCCCTTTGTTTTTGCCTCCGCTGAAGACTTTCGATGCCGCCATTCCTTCAGGCATCTTAACGTTGTAACGGATGAAAAGTGTGAAGAGGAGACTTTAGATGGACCACGGTACCAATAGACCGCGGTTCGGCTGCAGATGGATAAAGATTATATTAGATCCACCCAGTGCTGCCCAGAATCTTCCAGAGCCACGGCCTGTTGCGGAAAAGAGAAGGACCCGGCTGTGAGAACTTCCGGCAAACGTTAATGACGTATCCAGACCATATGAGCTGATAACAATTTTCTTCGAATGTTCCCATTTGTGGAAGGCACCAAAGCAATACTTTTTTAAAATGAGAAATGCTTAAAATGAAACCTACTTTTGAAAGCTGTGTAAAATCCTTCGTAAATTTTCTTTCAAAAGCCTTGACGATCGAATCTATTTGATTAGTTATGTCTGTTGAAACTGAGTCAGCAGCTTTTTAGACAAGCGTGCTAACAACAGCTATCAAAAACGTGATATATATATTTCATTATTAATTTCTGCATTTGGTGGCTTATTGCAGGTAATTTGCAATGTAACGTGAAATGTATTATTCAGTTCTCTGGTTTTAGCGCTACCTAAATTCGCATTAGCTTGATTTGACACACCTCCGGTATCCGCTACCTTGGCCGTTATTTTTGCCTCGCCTCTGCATTAGCGATATCTCCTTTTTGCCTCTGCGGGTATATAATGTATGAGTCCGCTATTGGTTGTCCTCAGAGCCAGCAGCTCGCGCATTGAATAAAACGAGAGCATTGACTCCGTTTGCCGTTTTAAGAATGTATCCATAGGGAACATTTATTGCAATGCTACGTGAAAGGAGTAAAGAAGAAGTCAGTGCTGCAGAGCTACCAGAAGGCTGCTGCCGTCAGCGAAATCGAATAAAGTGATGTTTGATCCATATGGGAAATTCTTTCTGAATAAGTGTGAAAGATGAAAGTAAAAATAAAAGGTACCTAATAGTTTTTTTCTGTTGTTGGATGTAGAAGTAGTAGATGGACCACAGTGATGATGGATGAGCTGTAATAATGTAGTCGGACACTACCTGGCAAAGTGGGAAGAAGCAGAAATCCACCCGCTGCTGTAGTCAAACTCTCTGCTGCAGATCTCAGCTTTATTGTAAGAATCAACCCTGTCTCATCAAAGTGAGTTTAACTAATAAACAATGTCCTAGAAACAGCACAGAGGACATACAGTAAACGAAATACATCATTGACTTTCAGTAATTTTGAGCCGGATTCCAAGCAGATGAGTCCACAACTGAGTGTGAACTACATGTATTTATTGATACAGCCTTGAGAACAGACAGTCTTGGTTATATGTTATAATACTAAAGTACAGTACATGAAATGGTAAAACAAATATACATACATGAGTCAATGTAATTTTGTTGAGTTACAATTTTTTATGAAACAATAAAGAAGATTTAAATGAAAACAAGAATTTGAATTAAAAACTCGGGGACAATTTAAGGGGAGAGGGTAACTCCCCCACATCACCTGATTGGCCTAGGTTGACCCCCCCCCCCCCCCCCCCCCCCCCCCAATCTCAACTGGCACTGGCCGATTGCTGCTTGTAGGTCATGATGATCTTTGTGTCAAGCTCAGAACAAATGTTATAAATCAGTGGTGTTCAAACTTTTTCTACTCTGAACCACCTGAGAAAACCTTGATCTCTCTGAGTATCACCATGATGACCAACATGAGAACATAGCAGCAGAGGCTTTCCCTGTTAGCTTCCACCACACAGGAGAGATGTTATTTGTTGTTACCTTAACAATGATGTGTGTTTCAGATTTATTCAATTGAAAATGTAAATTTGAAAATGTGAATTTTCCCCGCGTACCACTAGAGGGCGATCGCGTACGACTGGTACCACAGTGGTACACACTGGGCTGTGTGTAAAGGACTGTAGGACTTTTATCATAACACAAACACAGGATGTATTTGAAAATGTGATTAAACACGGCCGTAAGTAGCCGCCAAACCAGGGACGGGTCATTCATTCAATCATTGCTGGGTCTAGAAAAAGATGAAGAATGTAACATTAAGTTTTGTAATTTAAAAATAGCAAACTATTTATTTTTTCTAGATGTGTGAGATATGGAGGTACACGACTCTGTCGGAGCTCCCAGATTCTGGCTGTAGATCCACAATAAATCTGACACACTGTTGTGTTTCATTAATGTTCTGAACAGCATGTGTATGTATACATATAACATGAAAAAGATCTTGGTTATATTAATTACAAGACGAGTCAGTATTTTAACATACATTAAACAAATACAATTTAACTACAAGTACTAAAGCACTGTACATGAAATGGTGATACAGATATACATACATGAGTCAATGTAATTATGTTGAGTCAAACGAAATGAAATCATTTGAATTAAAAACTCAGGGATAGTTTACAGGGGGGAGGGGCTAACTCCCCCACATCACCTGATTGGTCCAGACTGGGCTGTGAGTAAAGGTCTGTAGGACTTTTATCATAACACAAACACAGGATGTGGGCCAGCGGGAATTTAAACACGGCCGTAAGTAGCCGCCAAACCAGGCTTTGGACATGACTGTGTCATGGGAAAGATGAATGGCTACAATACTACTGGATGGGCTTATTCAGGTTTGGCTTTTAAGAGCAATGGTTTTTGACGGTGCTGTACAGTGCTGCAGTGTCTTCATCAGTTACTTCATTGCTGGGCCTAGAAAAAGATGAAACATGTACTATTAGGTTTTGTTATTAAAGAAAAACTAGTTTCATAGCAAACGATTTATTTTTTTCTGGATGTGTGAGATAATGTTCACGACTGCGTCGGAGCTCCCAGATTCTGGCTGTAGATCCATAATAAAACTGACGTGTTGTGTTTCATTAATGTTCTGAGCAGCATGTGTATGTATACATATAACATGTATAAATAATAAAAAAAAAAAATATATATACATATAAATATTTAAATATATGTGTACATATATGTGTGCATGTAATTTGTACATATAGCTACTGTGTCTATATATGTGTATAAGTGTAACATATATATTAATATAGAAAACAAATGGTACTTTTTGATTAAGCAACCTTATTTTCTATTTCAAAAGGGGGAATACTATGCTACTTTCATGCAAATTTAAATATATATGTTAATCTGAAATATTTGCATTAATTGTCTACATCGTCTAGTTCCTGTTCATTTAGCACAGTGCTAAATGAGCAGAGGTGCTTAGCTTTTGTGTCATACACAATAGTGGTATGGGGGCTACGGGGGAGGGGCAAAAAACTTTAGTGGAACAGGGAATCTAATGTATAGGTAGGAACGTGTTGATACCTCACTGAACCAAATCAAGACAATAATATAAAAATATAAAAAACTAAGTGTTGTCACTGAGGAACTAGTGAAGACACTGTCTGTAAATGAGCGACTGCTCACCTGGGTTCAGAATGGTTGACTTTAACACCACTGTACTCAACAACAGTGTATTCACTCTCCCATGTCCCGTCTCTACCTGATCGATATCCCGGTCTTTCTCCTGGTTCAGCCACTTGTCTTGGGGACCTTTTCTTTCTGATCGTGAATCAAAATAAACATTGATTTACTGTTTAACACAAAGACAAACTTATAAGGATTTCAAATTTGTATTGTAATTATTTGAGGTAGTACTGTACTTGGACCTTTACCTTATCAGAAAGATGAGAGATACATCAACTACAACCAACAAAATAGCAATGGATGTTCCAATAACCACTAATTCCAACGTTCCAAGTGGAACTGCTGCAAAAGAGAAACAACCTATTTAGCATCAATGTGTCAAATATGAAGAATACTTACAGTATGTACATGTTACTTTAATTATTTACCTGCTCTTACAACCAGATGTTTGGTGGTGATCTGTCGTCCTACTCTGTTCTGAACTTCACACTGATAATTTCCCCCATGTTCAGTTGTGACGTTAGTGATGGTGAAGTTCTGTTCTGTAGATATTACTGTGTTTATGTTCTCCTTGTACCAGGTGTAATTAGCTGCTGGGTTAGCATCAGAGCTACAGGTCAGAGTCACTGAACTGCCCTCCATGATCTGACCAGGGGGACTCACTGACACAGATGGCGTCCTTGGAGCATCTGTATGAATGTAAACAGATGCAGAAAGTGGAGATACTGGTTCAGATGTTTTTTTCATATCAAATTCCAAACTTCAATTTGAATGTGTACTTTTATCTAACTCACAATTAACATCAATTGTAACCCAGTGGAATGAAGTTCCCAACATGTTCTGTGCTCTGCACTGATACTGTCCAGAGTCTGAGGTCTGGATGGACCTGAGGACATGCTGTGGTCCTTCACTCAGAAGATGTAATGAGTTTATGTTCTCCTTGTACCAGATGTAATTAGCTGCTGGGTTAGCATCAGAGCTACAGGTCAGAGTCACTGAACTGCCCTCCATGATCTGACCAGGGGGACTCACTGACACAGATGG